ATTATCTTGCAATCTCAAGATAAAAGTTGTTATCTAAAGATCTCAAGATAACAATCCAGAAAATTATAACTACCTCTGGCCTCTCTGTACTGAGGAGCCCTGCTGGTGACATCCCATATAAATAAAAATAATGCGTGGCCACGGCTTATTAATGCGTGGGAACGAGATCCCGACTTAGTAAGGCGGGAGAATGAGATAAGTAAGTTGTGGCCACGACTTAGTAACGCATGGGAACAAGATCACGCCTTACTAAGTCATGGCCACACGTTAGGATCTCGTTCCCACGCCTTACTAAGTCGTGGCCATGGCTTAATTATCTTGTTCCCCTGCCTTACTAAGTTGTGGGCACGCACTATTTTTATTTATACAGGATGTCACCTAAAAAAGTTGTTATCTAGAGATCTCAAGATAAAAATCCAGAGAATTATAACTACCTCTGGCTTCAGACTACAGAGCCCTGCTGCTGACATCCTATATAAATAAAACTAATGCATGGCCAAGCCGTATTAATGTGTGGGAATGAGATCTTAATGCAGGGCCACAACTTAGTACGGTGGGGAATGAGATAAGTCATGGCCATGACTTAGTAACGTGTGGGAACAAGATCATGCCTTACTAAGTCGTGGCCACGCATTAGGATCTCGTTGCCATGACTTAATTATCTAAATTAAAAAAAAATTTTTTTTTTTAAAAATTAAAAAAAAAAAGTTGATATCTAGAGATCTCAAGAAAACAATCCAAAAAATTATAACTACCTCTGGCCTCTTCAGACTATGAAGCCCTATAATACGTATTAATGCATGGCCAAGACTTAATTATCTCATTCCCACACCTTACTAAGTCATGGCGACGACTTAGTAAGGCGTGGGAATGAGATCATGCCTTATTAAGCTATGGTCAAGCCTTAATTATTTCATTCCCATGCCTTACCTAGTTGTGGCCACGCATTAAGATCTTGCTCCCACACCTTATTAGGTCATGGAGTCACACAGCAAACCACTCTGAATGACTCTGCATTATTTCAAGCCATGCATTCTTCTATGTGCTGTATTTGCTGTGCACAGATTAAAAACTCTTAAGGGGGGTTTTTGCTTTTACCCCTTAAAAAGATTTTATGTAAAGACAATGGTTCCATATAGAACCATGAACACTCAAAGAACCCTTTGCATGTTTAAATGTTTCTTTAGATGGATGGAGTATAGGACGTTGTATGGTTCTGTATAGCTCCAAAAAGGGCTCCGATATTGTTACAAGCTTGACATCGTAACAATAGCAGAACCCCTTTTGATGCTATATAGAACCATATGAAGCATGCTCTCCATCAATCTGAGGAACCATTTGAAGCACTGAAAAGAATGGTTTAAGAATGCAAATGGTTCTTTGAGTGTTCATGGTTCTATTTAGAACAATTTGTCTTTAAAGAACCTTTAAAGAACCATCTTTTAAAAGAGTGTACAGTTCTCACATCCACACAGAGTGTATACAGTAACACTGTACGCACAAACAGGGGAAAAACTAGGGTTTAAAAACAGATAAACAGGCATCTGGAGGCCCGTATCATGGAAAACACTGGGCTTCTTCTCCAGTATCTTCCTGAGTTTGTTCTTAAACGTGTTCTTAAGGAAGGTCCTAAGAAAAAGTCTACGTCAGATTCATGACGTGTTCTTAAAGCGCAGAACTGTTCTCACCTTTGTGCTCTTGAGGACAAATCCCAAATAAGAAAACACTGGTCAATGTCGGAATCGTTGTAAAAACTGCGTAAGTGGGTTTTACGAAGAAATTTGTTCTTAATAACAGTCGGTGAATGATGCCCAAACATTTTAAGGAGCTTCAAAAAACACTGTTCACTCACTGGTCTGCATATAAAATATGATCTGCAAGAACAGCCAGTTTTGAAAAACACAAAAACCAACACATTTACATACACCCACCTATTAGGCCTATAGCCGTTTAGCCCCGCCCACTCACATTGAACCAACTCAACCAGGACTGCGTTTTGAATGAGTGCAATACAGGTCAGCCAATCAGAACAGAGCTCATTTACATATGTAATAAACTCCAGTACCATACTTCTTTTTTGGACCCCCCCCCCGCCCCAGTTTTATCATATCCAATATCCTATATCCAATACTGGAACTTGTAATTAAGTTGGCTCAGTTTTAGACCTAAAAAACATTTAAAACAACTTAATACCTAAATAAATAATCTAAATGTTCATTTAAAGGGGCCAAATCATGACAAACCTCACTTTTTGATGTAGTATTTGAACACTGAAGTTTCTAAACGCACTGTTCACTTCCAGCCCACAGTTCATAAATATAAAAGAGCAAAAACCTCTTTTTAAATCTTAGCCTACCGCAGTTTAGCCCCGCCCATTCACACTGAAGTTATAAGGAGTGTTTCAGCCCAGACTGGGTTATAAATGAGGCTCAACAAGACAACTAATGAGAACAGAGCTCATTTACATATGTCTTAAAGGTACAGTGAGAAAACAGCCTACTTACTTATAAGGCAGGGGTGTCAAACCCAACCACTAAAAGGGCCATGTTAAAAAATCTCAGCAGATCTGAGGGCCAGCGGTGTTATTTTATTTTTACTTCACTGCCATGAGCCTTCCGCCCAATGACAGCTGGCATAGCCTCCAGCACCGCCCCCCCCCAACCCAGAAGGATAAGCGGTACAGAGAATGTGTGTGTGTGCCATGACCCAAAAGGGCCACTGTTTATTCAAAATATGCCAAAACTGCAACAGCAAAACAGTCATTGAAAACATTCAAAATAATTTTGAATAATTTTTTTAGTAGTTTTTTTTACAACTGCCTATTTGCTTGAACTAGACACCAGGCATCTTTTCTTTTTGAGTAACCGCTGGCCCCTAGGTTGTTGTTGGGGAAGAGGGTCAGAACGCACACTGTGTTGCAGTGCATGTTGGGGACTGTAGTGCATTTCAGGATGAAACGGGCAAATAATAATAGAGAATTTAAATATTTTGTGGGCCAAAAAGTACAGTGTCACAGGCCTGCTTGGCCTGCAGGCCTTGTGTTTGACACATGGCTTCTAAGGAACAAGGAGAGGTTGGGAAACGAAACCACAAATGTCAGTCACACTTTATTTGGATGGTCCCCTATAGATGATCAACAGATACTTATATTATTAACAAACTCTCTGGTGAAGCCCAGCTGATTATCAACAACATTAAGGTTATGGTCAGGTCTAGAAGTAGGTGTAGGTTTTGCCTTCAGGTTGGGTTTCGATTTATTAGAATCTTTCACACACAACTTCAAGTTCAGCTGCATTTAATAGATGTCTAGCTGAATGTTAGTTAAAGATTGAGCATCTACAGTGGACCATCCAGCTGAAGTGTTACCAATGTGATAAGGAGACTTCGCGATTTGGCCCTTTAAAAAGTAATAAGTAACCGGAACGGGAGGTGCGTTTTGTTGTTTGTCTCTTAATGAACTGGAAATGAAGACGTCCTCTGGAAAAAGCATTCTGCTTTATTTATTTTTTCTCTCAATGAGATCATTTAACAAGAAAAAAAAAGAGCAAATAAAGATCACATCTCTGAAAGGATAAACAACAGTAAGGGATAAATAGGCCGAAGGGTCAGCGGTCGAGGGCGCGCCGACCCGGACACAAAATTAAATACGTAAAAGAAAAACTTCAACAGTAAAATATCCATCGTTGTTGCCCCCCCCAACCCCAACTCTTTAAATACAAGTCTACAAAGAAAAGCGAAAGGGCAATAATGTGTGCCTGTACAGTTATTACTGTGAAGAACAATACTATCATCTGAAGTTCAAGTGTCCAAAGCAGTGCTGAATGTACACCTACCAAATTAACGTCCAAAAGAAAAGAAAAAACCAACCCAAAATCAGTCCAGGGGACAGCGGTCCACTTAGGGAATGTCCTTTAAGCGGTTTCTTCAACAAAAGCACATCAGCGAACAGCATCCTGGACCATCTTTTCACTCCCCCCCCCCGAAGGCAAGCACACTCACGGATGGCTATAGTTTTGTACAGCTGTGGCGTATGGAGCAAAGAAAGTTCGCGTTTCGTTCACCGGCGACGGTAACAGGTCAGGTCTTTTCTTTTGTCCGGACAGGACTGCGGGATGAGATGATGTCCTTCTCACATTTCCAACTGTAACATGAAATGAGAGTCTCCTCTGTAGAGTTTCTCCAGCTTAAAAAAAAAAATAAATAAAAAAAATAAAGAAAAGGGGGGCAAAAAAGGTAACCTGGTTGCCTTAAATCATTTAATTAAATTAGAACTAATTATTTGAACTTCTAATAAGTGTGTTAAGGAGTTCAAATACATTCTGGAAGTAAATAAACAAAGTTTGCTGAAATATAAAATTTTACCCACTCTTGGCTCAAAATGTAGTCGATCAGCCAAGACTAACACAAAACAGACGTATGCAGTAAGTTTGAACACCCCTGGTCAAATTACACTTTGCTGGCTTAAGGTTAATAAGTACAAAAAAATTAACCGGCTCTCTACATGTTTCTGCACATTTTAATGCACAATTACTGTTTATTGGCTAAATTTAACATATTGAAACAAAAATCATAAAATGCAGCTTACGGTAAGTAATTTATGGCATGTTTTATTCTTTCCGATATATTTTAAGAAATGTTAAAAATAACCAGTAATTGTGCATTAAAACGTGCAGAAGTGTGTTTTCTGGAAAGGAGGTGTTCACTTACTCTCACTTAAATCAACAAAGACACTAAATTTGATAGGGGGTGCTTCAACTTTGACGCAACAGTAAGAGTCTGCAGTCGATTCATTTAAGACAGCCAGGCTAACGATGCTGATTTTTGATTAAAAGTTACATTTAAACCCCTTAAATTAGAAGAGCTGTATGTCTGTTCTCTGCACCGTCTCTCTACACACTGCAGACGGGTGAAAAAAGTTTTGCCCAAAACAGAATTCAGCACCAACCAAAACATGAAAAACTGAACCGAGGAGGAAGGAGAGGGGAAGGGGGAGGAAAAGAACCACAGAGGAGATCCCACATCCAGAGAAGGAGAGAAGTGCTTTAAAGGAAAGATGAAAGGAAGGGAAAAGGAGGTGATCCAGAGAAATGCTTTAAAAGGAAGGATTTGGAGGGAAGAAGTAGGGAAAAAAAAAATAATAATCCACACATCCACAGGGGAGCTTTTACTGGAGACGTACACCACCGCTCAAAAGTTTGGAATCACACGTAAAATGACAAATGATTATTTTTCAGGCCTCAATTTTCAGAAGCTGTGAAAATTAAGAAATTTGGGTGGATGATCCCACAGTAACTGAGAAAGCTCTACAGCACTGACAGTAACTTAAAAGGAACAAAAAACGCCCCATATAGTGACTGAATCTCGTCGATAAAACAGCTTTTCACAACTGACGATAAACAGTTTATTATTTAATACATTTTTTTTTTACCATGTCCGATTCTTATTGTCTTTACACTGTGAATAAACTACTGGATTGCATTTTAGTGTCTGGATCACAACAGTCAAATCCACCATATATAAACTAGAGTTTAATAAAACTTATTAATGCAAGTGACTCCATCTTTTAAACAGCAGTGTCAGCCCTGGTGGAGGTCCTGTCCAAAAAAAAAGAAAAAAGAAAAAAAAAAATACAGCTGCATTTGACTCAATACAAACAAACAAAGCGACAGAGAGGAGCTATATCTCTATATGGTAACGTGTCTGATTAGCGTTAGCATTAGCTATAGGGATAGCACAAAAAAGCCACTTAAAATAAAGTGATCACACGCTCCAACAAGTTAGCGGCCACCCACAGCTCGGTTCACCAGGAGTACACGACCCACAGCGTTTCACAGACACATACAGCCTTCAGACTATCACCGTTACTCGCCCTCGACTGGCTCTGAAAACAAGCCTTTAACAAATCAGAGGTTTTCATGGTCTTTCTACGAGTTAAAGGGCCCATATCCTACACCGCCCCCCCCTTTCAGATCACATTTGTGCTAAAATGGTCATGACCTCTTTACCCCTTAGAATCAAACAGGCTGTTTTTGTTGTGCCTTTCAGACTGATATATGCAAATGAGCCCTGCTCTGATTGGCTGCTTCATTCAGGAAGCATCCAAGGCTGAAACATTTCTTATGAGTTCAGTGTGAGTGGGCAGGGCTGAGTTCAGTGTGAGTGGGCATGGCTAAGCTGCTCTAGGCTGAATAGGCAAATGTGTGTAAATGCATTGGTTTTTGTGATCACAAAAAGTCATCACAAGTCAAAATGCAGCTTCGTGTCCACTGGGGATAAACAATGCTTTCTGAAAACAAACAATGTTCACATATTACATAATGTATTAAGTCTTGGGAGGTAAAAACGAAAAAAAAACAATGAAGAAAATTTGGTTTTCCATGATATGGGCCCTTTAAGTTCCTCATTCAAGTAATACTGCGCAAACCATTTGGCGAAAAACCAGGAAAATGTCTTCAAATTGGGGTTTAAAGTTTTTGTTTTATTGAGTAAAAGGTGCCCTTTAATAATAGAGCAAATAGGCGTCGATTATGATTTATATATTTATTAAAAAAAAGAAAAAAAAAGTTAAAAATTCCATGGTACCCAGTAAAAATGACAAAATGGTGCCACACTGCAGTTTTTTTTTCTTGCTTTTTTTTGTTTAAAGAGGCTTACAGTTTAAGCTTCCGACATGTTCGTTGATTCTCAGTCATGTCAATCAAAACTACAGTCCAACCAGGTGGGCACAGTTTGGCAATGGGTGGGGAAATGCATAAGCTGAAGGTGATGATGCATCCTTTTTTTTCAGATGTTCTCTTTTCAAACTTTGATGGAGAGAAAACATGAAATCTGACATTGTTTTTACCCATTATTCTTCTCTTGAAATGGAAAATAAATGTTAATAAATAAAGATGTTCTTGAAGAGAGTGTCTGCTTAGAAAAGTCCCAAGCTATCGTGTCTATGTATATATAATATAGTATACATTTATATATATAGATATATTTATATATCTCTATATGCTGTGTTTAAACAGTAAGTGTCCGATTTTGGTGCTCCTGTGGTTTCAGTTTGTTGTCCTGGTAGAGTGGTGAGATGAATGTATGTGAAGGGGAAGAAAAAAAAAAGAAAGAAATAAAACAAAAAATAAGCCAAACAAAAACAGGATAATGGAGAGAGGTCCTTAAAAGTTGCCTGGAGACGGGCGAAGTTTGAGCAGAGCGGTTTCAACGACAGCAGGATGGAGTCAGACGTGAGGTCCAGCATTAGGCCTTGCTCTCCTCCACTTTAACGGACTGAGGCTTGATGGCTCCGGTTCGGGCCGGTTTGACCTGACCTGGGGGCAGCGGCTCTTGCAGCTTGTTGGAAATCACAGCCGACGGAGCCTTCAGGTCACCTACACCTGCCCGAGCCTCACGGAGAGCCTTTGCCTACATGAAGACAGACAAAAACAAAAAGTGATGTTATAATAATTTTAGGATGTGAACATGCTTAAAATATATTTTATATTTATATATATATATATATATATATATATATATATATATATATATATATATATATATATATATATATATACACACACACACACACACACACACACACACACATACATACATACACACACACACATATACACACACAATTTTTAAAAGATTGTTAAAAATTGCTTTTTGACCTTTAAAAGAACAGCAATGCTCATTTAAATGATGTTGAAATGTATGAACAAAAATAGAACATTTGATTTTTTTTTTTTAATCTTACAATATTCTCCTTTAAAAGAACAAGAAGGCTAAGATTAATTAATCTCCATGATGGAAAAGGAAGAGAAAAAATGTATTTAACATTTAAGGAAGTGTTCACAGATGCTTAATATCATGGTTTTAAAGCATTTGCATTTGTACGAATGCATTTTCTGACCTTCAAAAGAACAATATGTTAATTATAATGATCCTGAAACAAATGACATTTATTTTAAATGTAGGTTGCAGTGAAATAGCCAATGTTTCTTTTTCCAAGTTAAAAAACTTAATTTTGTCCTTCAAAAAATTAAGAGCACTAATCTTAATAATACCAAACTTAAAAAATAAGACATGAAAATTCAGCCAAATGTACAGAGATGCTTCTAACAAAACAGCTGCAGTTCAGGCTGCACAATATATCCTTTGTTAAACATTATTCTTATATTAGTTCTTGCAGCACAGACATCGACGAAGGCTGCAATATGCAAAGAAACCCTCTAACCAGTCACAGTGTGCTGTGAGCATCCTGACCAATCACAGCTCCAGATGAGTTTCTGTTAGTCTTGATTAATTATTTTGGTCAAAATCATGTCAACCAATCTCGTCACATCAACCACCTGTTTTGAGAGCATATTGCAACCCTGGTATGTACACAACAATCAACATACAACTACAATTTGGTATTTCAGACATATCCTGCAGCCGTCGTGTTGTGTTTTAACAAGACTCCCTCAAAAGAATAAAGCTTACATTTATTTCAAGCTTAGAATGTTTTTACTCCAGCAACAAAAAGTAAAAGCAAAAGGTAAAAGAAGAACAGAAAGAGAAGTGGATTAAATGAAAATTACCTATATTTACAGTGGGTGGCTCACCTTCGTGCCCTCCTCAGCCCCTTTGGGTGCGGTCTCGGGGTTGGAAGGGGGGGTGGAGTGGGGCGGCTCGCGGCCTGGGCTGGGGTAGGGAGGGGAGCGGATGATGACGGTCTTGTTTACCTGCATTACAGGCCGCTGGATGGGGTTGGGGAAGGGGCCAGTGGTGGGGGGGCGGATGTGCATTACCATGCTGCCTTGGGGAGGGGGCACCTGGAAGGGGGAGGAGAAAATTACTGTTGCGCTGTGTTATATTTTGTTAGTTTATATACATGCAAACCTGCGTATACACATACAAACAGTACAGAACATTAACTGTTTAGTAAAAGAAAATTACATATACACACAAATAGATTATTATAGTTGACATTTTCATTAGTTATTTATTTCATTTTAAATTTTAAATTTTGGTTTTTCAGTTCAATTTTATGGGTTTAGTTTTATGGATTTAAAAATGTGATGTGTGGTATTTTAGTTTTAAATGTACATAAACTCGATTGTGCTCATGCCTTGATACTCTGACTGGTCTGAAATGCAATCAGGAGTTTGTGCCCCTCACACACGACTCGACTCTCTCTCCAACTTTCAACTTCGACTGACCCAAAAATCTGCAGACTAGAGTCAACAAGCACACAGTCGGGTAGACTGAGAATCGGGGCGAAAACCAGGGTGAAAGTCGTGTAGCGTAACCCCGGCTTAACTCTGGGGTGTCCAATCTCATCTTCTACTTGTTAAATCAGTTGGTCTTAGTCTTCAAACATTTCATCAGGTGACCTCCTGCTTTGTTGGAGTGAAAACCTGCAGCCATACCGGCCCTCTGCGGATTAGACTGGGCAACCCTTCACTGTTTAAACATATACATACCTACATATAAGAAGTGTGAGTAAAGATCCTGGGTGCATATTTTGTACCTGCTTGCACTTAAGTTACAAAGCGTTTACAGGACTTGACCAATGTATATTAATTACTGGATCACAATCACTGTACGCTTTGATTAATAAACAATACAAATGCTGTGGTGTGAATACCTGTTGAGTATAATGTCCAGGGAGGGGGCCTACAGCAGGGGGGGCGCCAGGACCAGAGGGTTTTCCACTGGGACTAGCAGAGCCAGGCCTAAACAGAGAAAACAGACAATCCATTACGCATAACAATAGCACAATACCCGCTGACAGCCATTGGATTTTCTTCTATTAAAAAAGGGAGCCACTTTTAACAAAGACTCACTTCACTTAATATGTTCCTCTGCAAGGGTGAATAATATTCACACAGCCAACAACTCCCACACATGCTTCGCTGATTAGCTAACTACTCATAGCTCTTGTAGAAACATTAGGCTACATATCAATTCTGTTATTATATGACTGAGCCAAAAGTAAGATTTGTTACAGGTTTTTAAGTATTTTCTGTTTGCACTGGGCCGACACCAAAACAAGGCATCAAATCTGTAACATCTCAAATTCTGCTCTGATAAGATTCACATGTAAACTGTTGCTGCTCACCTGTAGGAGCCGGCAGGTATTCCGGGTGAGTGGCTGGCCTTGTCGGAAAACTGGAACCCTTTCATCTCCATCTGCGAAGGCTGTGGGGGGGTTGAGCAGTAACCAATAAACCAAACATCAAAAGACAACAACTCTTTTAATCCACTCTAAACCATACAGGTGTAAATATGGGTAATTTCTAAAAGCTGAAATACGCCCAGCTCACCTCTCTGCTGGCTGGCATGACGGGTGGCTGTGAGCCTGGAGGCATCATGCGGCGCGGAGCGTTTACAGAAAGGTTCTGGCCTTGCTGGAGCTGGATGGACTGGGGCAGGATCAGGTGCTGCTGGGCTGAACCATAACGCAGCTGAGAACCAGGCAGGGGCATGGTCACCTACACACAAACACAGGTTTATACATTATTAATTGTAAATTCTTTTCTGAGGAAAAGTTTGGGCGCCTTGATCATATATAAAACACATCAGCACTTTAACACACAGAACAAACAGAAATGGTGCGCTATTAGCAGCAGAAAACCATATTTAAGTGTGTTCTCTATAGAGGTGTTAAAGGGGAACTCAATTTTTTAAAGTTTCTACATAATTAAATGGCTCAGATGTAAGCGAAGTCATTCAGGGTGGTTTCTACTGAAATGCTCGATTCTAGAGAAGCTTACCAAATCAGAATTGTACACAGTGGTAGTGATAGGAACCAGACATCTGAAGAGTTTGTCTTTAAAAGCTCCATCACTAAGTTATTAGACCAAATGGTAATGAATACGCTGCCTGACGCCTGAAGTGTTGGCCTAAAACATCTTGTTAATCCATTTATTTGAATCCATTCATGGTGGACGAGTACAAGCAGGGTATTGTGAGGCAAAATGGCCCTCAAAGAAAACATTTTTTCAGATTTTCCACTGTTTCACCATCATCAACATTCCATATAAAACTCAAGACAGGTGTAGGCTGGGGGTCCCGAGTGGCACAACCGTCTAAGCGTTGGCCCTATCATCAGAAGATTGCGAGTTCGATCCCTGGTGATGCTACAGCCATCCGTAGCCGGGAGTCCGAGAGAGCACAATTGGCCTCGCTCTCTCTGGGTTGGTAGGATGGCCTCCCTCTCCCCCCATCACTTAACACGATGCTAGTCAGCGCAGGCGTCTGTTAGCTGACGTAACAGATCTAGCGGTTGGTGCTTTCCTCCGAGCGCGTTCGGCTGTCCAATGACGTTGCGTGAGCGGCAGTTCGAAAAGAAGCGGTGGCTGGTTTCACAGGTCTCGGAGGAAGCCTGTGTTAGCCTTCGCCCTCCTAGCGTTGACAGTATCGTGTGATTGGGGGAGTCCTAACTAGCGGGTGGAATTGGACACGACTAAATTGGGGAGAAAATTGGGTAAAAATCCAAAATTAAGACAGGTGTAGGTTCACCAGTGCTTTTGGATAGTCAATAAAATGGCTATTTGTGTTGTATACATGGCGACCCATTTCCCATCACCACTGCTGTAAAGAAACCAGAATTTCTTTCTACAACAGACCATTTAATGTTGAACCCTTCTGAACAACTTTGTATTGCAATGAAGGAATTAGGCAAAAATTCAGAAAAATTGGTGGAATTCCCCTTTACCTTATTATCAATTTGAATATCCACTAAAAACAATTTGACTGGGGATGTTCAAACATTTGCATATGACTGTATGTACCTAAAACCAGTAAGAGCAGTAATTCCAAAGGCCTGAGTCATACAGTGTCAGAAACCATTAAAAAAAATCAAGTCTATCAGAGATGACTTAACAACTCAACGCGATTGCAGGAGAGTATGTAATGACTTGGCATGCTAACTGGTTGGGTACAAGTTTCCACTTGTTCGCAACATTAGCCTCGTAGCTCCAGTGCTACAACTGAAGAAGCAAACTTCAGACACTAAACAGGTCTTGGCTGATCAACTACATTTGGGATAAGTGGGGGAAACTGTCTGAATTTTATTGTGGCAATAACATCACTAACACTAGAAGGGGAAACAGGTGTACTATGGTCACCTGGATGAGCTGGGAGTCCATTAGTTGGGAGGTGCCCATGCCTGGAGCCTGGTTCATGGGGCCGTCGTAGACCAGTGGCTGGCTGCCGTTGATAGGCTGGTAGTGGGAACCTGACTGAGGCTTCACCATCTCTGAAGGCTGTATTCCCGGAAAGGCTGAGTATGGTCCTTTTAGAGGAGCTCCACCCGACAACACCATCGGACTGGGCTGGGACAGGTTGGGGTGCATGTACACTTGGGACCTGGATGTCAGGGGTAGGCAGAGAGTTACTGAACTATTCTGTCTCATATCAAATCAAGTCATTATTATTTATATAGCATATTTGTGTTGGGCAAAGTGCTGCTCCAACAAATTCAAGCAATGTCAAAGAGAAATAAAATAAAATAATTTAAATATTTAAATAAAGCAATTAAAATGTAAATTATACCTGAAAGGAGGGATGGAGTTGAACATCTCCTGCGACTGAGAAACAGGCAGACCCCCCCTGAGCCCCAGCTGGGCCTGAGCCTGCAGAGATGTGTGCAGGGAGATGGGAATCTGCTGAGCTGCTGCAGCCTGATCACATGCACGCAACAGAAAAAGAAAAACATTACAAAAAATATCTGAGAACGTGGTTATCCAGTAATAATTTTATTTTGGTGAATTTGCATAGAACCAGGGATTGGAAACAAAACCATTTGGTGCAATCTGAACAGAAACAGTTGCTCTACACCCTGTCCATTTGGTAAACAGTCAGATCAAAATAAAAATGGTTAATAAGTTTGTTATGGTTCACTGTGCAGAAATAAGGTCTTAAAATACTACCAGATCAGTGACCACGGCATTTCCATAGCAAATTTAAAATCAAGTTTTTGCTCTAAGTGGTTTTTGAAAAATATTTAGCTTTTTGCTTCCTGGTAACCATTTCTCATCACAAATTAGTGATCAATCAAATAAAGAACAGTAAGAAGGGTTTCCAGGCATGTGGCGTCACAGAGTTCAGTGACTTTCCTGCTCTAACAGACTCAATTCAAGCCATCAGTAACATGAAAACTAAATGAACAAGTTCAGATTTGTCCATCAAGAACAACAAACTTTGCAACGAAACTGTACTGTAGTCTGTGTTCAAGTCAAAGTTATTCACCACCATTAAAGACAGGAGCATTGTGGGCTAGCTAGACTCGTACCTGTTGGTAGCTCTGCTGCTGAGTCATAGTCGGCGGCACCAACCGAGGTTGACTTGGAAAGACGTGGCCGTCGAGGTACAGAGGGGTAATATGATTACCTACAGAGAGAGAAGGGTAAAATATTTCAGACTGTATATACCCAAACTGACAGTTGGCCAAAAGCGTTTGAACTTTTACACATTACAAGATTTTCTTGGTCTGGGACATCGCTTATAAGTCCAAAATGTCAAGCCCCATTTTCAAATAAAGGGATTTTCAGGTGATGCCCTACCAAGCACTACAAAGTGCATCTTCCCCCCCCATTGTCATCCAGGGAGTAGCATGCACCTCAACTGAAAAGCTCTCCTGCACCCTGTGGAGGTTTTGTTAGGTTAAAAACTGGTCAACTACTCCGCTGCCAAGACAATATCAGAGGCATCTCTAGTCACCAAAGCAGTAAAAGCTAGTTTTGGCCATTTTCAAATACCCAAGCTGTACCAAACTCGGGTCTACAATTAACACAAACTGAAAATTTTAAAATTTTGAAAATGTTTATCGCTCGTCTCAGTCTTCTGTTTTCTCTCACATCTCTTTCTCTTGTACCTTGCATCTTTTTAAGCATAACATGCTGCCTGCTTCTCCTTTAAAATGGCATTGTATGTTCCCCATAATTGGGCTGAACATGAGAAACAGAATGAAGCTTAAACTAAACTAACGCAGAGCGTCAGGCTACGCAGTCAAAACTTAACTTTTAAAACAGCTACAGCTTCAACTATGCTTCACTGGTAAAAAATACATAAACAAACAAATAAATAAATACATACATAAACAACAAAGGAAATAAATGAAATTAGTCTAACAGGAATGCTACAACAGATTCATCAACATGTGGGGAACAGCCCCAACTCATAAGTTGACAACATGGCACTTGTGCTGGTTAGAAGTAAAATGCTTACTACATAGTTAAATTTATGGTAGATATAAATATGCATATTTAAATGTTTAAAATAACATCACTGAGTGAATGAACAAGTAACTTGGGTGGTTGTGTTGTCCTAATAACAGACTGATAAATTTGTATGCTATGACAATAAGTTAACATAAAAATGCCAATAAAGGTTGAATTCCAATACATCTGAACAAAAGCCACTGACTGAGAACTTTACGATGAGCTCCAAATCATTTAGTTTAGAGCACAACTGCTAAAATTACTAATATAGAGAGAAGGTCACCTTGCATGGAGACAGAGGGGGCAACAGAAGCCACAGGCATGGGGGGCATGGAGACACCTCCAAAGGAACTGTAGCTGACCCCGCTGGAGGAGCCAGCGCTGCAGGGGGGCTGAGAGCCTGAACCTGCACCGCCGGGAGAGCCCTGCTCTGGGAGGGACTGAGAGTTTTCCCAGGCTTTACGTGCAGACTCCATCTGAGAAGACATAAAAACACATAAGCAAACAGCAGTCAAGACATCTGATGACAGTGTTTACCAACCATGGTCATTAAATAACATTCTTTCATAATATTGCAGTAATATTGCAAAAATATTTCATAATATTTTTGCCCCTTCAAAAAACAAACAAACACAAAACAAACATTTCACCTCATGAGCACTGAAAGCACTGTACTGCAGGCATACTTTTTAACAAAAACAAGAACCCCACACAATTTTCCAACCTGTATATTGCAGGCTTAAAACGATGTTTTCATTGCTGTGCTTTTAAGGCTGATGTCAATGAGCACTGCTCTCATTGGCTGCCCAGTGTTGCACCTCATTCATTAACACAAAAAACAACAACAGTCCAGACTGAAACACTCATTAACTTCAGTGAGAATGGGCAGGAGCGGGTAGGTTTTAGAGGCATCACAAAATCACTGTTTTTGCAGTTTAGTTTTCATAAAATGGTACTGTATGGACTGAGGAGTGAGTCAAATATTTAAATGAGCTCTGCTCTGATTGGCTGCTCTGTATTGTGAGCTAACTAGCTATGGGCTGAACAGGCAGATATACGTTAACATGACAATGAATTTGGCTCCAGCATAGTTTCCATACATGGACTGTATGAACTGGGGAGTGAACAGTACGTTTTGAAGCTTTAACAATGTTTAAATACCACAGCTCACTCTTACTGCTAAAGGTGAAGTTTTTCATGATATGGGCCCTTTAATGAAATCTGATGCAGTTATAGAATATCTATAAATATTACGGTTCTATAACCTAAGCTATAGCATTTGTTATTTTTTCTGTTTTCCTCAGGTGTAAATCCAATGTGTGTAAAGGTGTAAAGGCTGTGTGAGTGTGTGTCACCTTGAGAGTGAGGTCCGTGGTGGGGAAGGATATGGGGTTGAGGTTGATGGCGGGCTGCAGGTGATCTCTGCGCAGCATCGGAATGCCCTGAGCAAGGCCGGCCTTAAGAAAGAAAGGGGGGAAAAAAAAAAACAAAACAATGTGTTACACTCAAATACAGCTCCAGTTTTAAAGCTTTATTAAAAATATAAAATAAATTATTCTTGTGGCTAATTAGGCAGGTATGAAATATGAGACTGGTATCAGTCTTACACTGTTACATCACACACACACTCAAATATTTAAAACCTACATTGCCAGCAAGAGCATCCTGTAGCTTGGTGACTGGGTTTGAGACAGCTACTGGCGCAGAGCCAGGAGGGAGGCTGAAGTCAGAGTCCTTTGCACTGACTCCAAATTCGATAGGGGGAACAGGGATGACGTTGTCCACGTGGATGTCCACTCCATTTACTGGGGTGATGGGGCCCTCCAGACGCTCCACCCCTTCAGAACCCTTTCGGTTCTTCAGCGAACGCTCATTTCCGATGGGGCCAGGTTTGTGCTCTTTGCTCTGCTCCGGCCCTGCGTCCGAATCCTGGAGGTGGAAGGTTTAAAAAGAGTATTTCAAAATACTACAAAAATGCTAACTGCTAAAAATGAAAACTGGTAGGGGTCGGTTGGCATTATGCAAAAGACTCCTGCTACATAGATTTTCACGTTTCAGAAAAATGCCCAGTGACAGTAAAAGCGTCCCCCCCCACACTTTACCCTGACTGGCTGCACTGATCACTGACAGTGGTTTCCATAAAAGACGAGGAACAGAAACGCTCAAGAGAGCCAGGGGTGTATTGGTGATACGGATTTCAACACCGTGTAGGGCTTATTTTCTGCCCCTGCCAGTACTGTGCTGAAATTGTTAAACTGAAATAGTCCTTCATACTATGATACTATTATCATGAATGTTGCATTCAAATAGACAAATAAAAGCCCTACCTCTGAATTTGGTTCACTCCCAGTGTATGACACTTGCTTCGTCCAAGAGTCTCCACCAGATGACTGAACTGTGAGGGCTTTGAGGTAAGAAAAAAAAAAAAGTTTTACTTCCACATCTATTTAAAAAACAAAATTACAAAACGTCTATATTCAAGTCCTTCATTTCCCACAAGTCAGGATCGGTCTTACCTGAGCTGTTGGTCTCCCATATCTCAGTGCCCAGGTTACTGGCTGAGAGCGTCTCCTCCGGCTGTTCGATGGACATGCTGCCCTGCTTCTTAGCAAAACGGGGAGGCATTTTTGAAGTGATTGGCCTGTTTTTCACTGCAACCTACAGGAGCACACATTGAATATCCTGTAAAATCTCAAAAATTCCAAGAAAAACACAGCCACGGACTTCTGTGCTATCAGTATATGGTAATTAAACAAACATGGACGTAACCTATTTTAAGGTTAAGCTGAGGATGGAGGTTGAGGGAACTGGTCCTAAAAGAACTTGCGAGGGCTGAGAACATTTAGGTCTTGTTGAAGGATGGTTGTAACCTACCTGTGCATTTTGCTCCTTTCTCCTTCGGTCCTCCTCCTGTGGACGCCTCTGCTTTTTGGAGAGGGCATCTTGGAATCCCTCGGGACTCGGAATAGAAGCCCCTGAATCGCTTTCAACTGCATCAGAAAGAAGTCACAGTGAGATATTAAATTTTCAAGGGTAGCACAAGCCAGCTCTCCCAGTACACAGTTTGGGGACACCTTTCTTTTGAGTTATCATAAAGCAGCCATGTGGTAATCCACTGGGTATGTTTAGCTTTAACAATGTTTCAAATAGCAACAAGAAATTGATCAATTAATTAATTTTCATTGAAGTGGCACTTTCCTGATGGATGTTATTTTGGTCTTACTTGGGTAACTGTTCAGGTCGTATTGAGAAAGGGACTCCCCCATGTCTCCTTTGATGGCTCTGGTTTTCAGCTCCTTCTCCATTTTCTTCCCTGAAGACTCAGTAGCGCTGGTGGGGAGGTTCTCCTCTGGCTGTTCCACACCGTAAACAGACCCTGCGTTCAAGCCTGGAGCTGCGTCCTCTGGACTCCTGCACAAATAAAACCATGGCACTTTGACTACAGGGTCAATGTAATAAGACAAGCTCTTTTGCTCATTTTATGTACTTCTACATCTGTGCTGAGAGATAAGCAGAGAGCTGAAGTGGGTGAAATGAACTAAAATTCAATATTGTGGTATTTTTTAACAATAATAATAATTATTATAGCAACCACAATATAGCAAAATCCACATGCAATCTCATACCATAAATGTCCACTTTATTAGGATACTTCCCAAAAATCAAAACTTAAATTTTTGTTTCGTTTCTACTGCAGCATTTGCTCTTACCTTCTGCAGTTGGGCGACACTCCATTCTGCCAGCCATCATTTCGGTTAGATGAGCTGCCGCTCGAAGGAGTGTCCGTGGAACGGTTCATCTTGCTGCTTTCCAAAACGGAGATGTCGCTCTTGCGGTTCTGCCGCTCCACTAGTGGGCGCTGGCTTGAGAAACTTCTCTTGGAGAGCTCTCTTTTTTCAGAGCCTGGCTCACTGTGACCTGAATCAGCTGCCGCATCACCGTGCTGGGCACCACGTTTTTCTCTCCAGTCGTTAAAATCACTGTTTTCCGACCCAGTCTCCCAGTCTTCACCTTGATGGCTGAATTCCTGTTGTCTGTTTCCAGAATACTGACCTGGCCAGTGGTCCTCTCCACCTTTCGAACGACTGGGCCAGGGGTTGGTGAAATCTCCGTTAACATACTCTTCGCTGTTCCACTGGCCTCCAGGCTCTCTCTCTTGACGCAGTCTTCTAAAGCGCGGAGGCTTGTCCTGGCGTGGAGGACGTCTTCTCCTCAATGGCCGGTTGTCGGGGTTATCATTATCTAGATAATAGTCACCTTCTCTGTCTTCTACACCGTTCTCCACAAAGGAGGCGGAAAACTTTGGTGGGTACTTGAGTGGATCTCCTTCTGCTGGTTTTCTCGAGTAGGAGTCATTCCCGAAGTTGTATCCATTCTCTTGAGAGGAACCGCCTCCAAACTGGTTTCCTCTTCCCCTCCACGTAGAAATCTCCCTCGACCCGAACCCGCGGTTGTAACCGGCGTTGAGGCGTGGAGGAAGGGATCGACCGTAACCTCTTGTTTTGGACTTCTCCCTTGCTTCGCCACTGCTCTGATCATTGTTATATACCTTATTGGATCTCCACGAGTCCCTGTCCGCCCTTTTGGTGTCACCACTTGCAGAATAAGCGGCTTCTCCGTTTTCAGCCCCCTTCTGGCGACGACGTTTAGGCAGCTCCTCGTATTCTGAAGCTTCACTCAGCGTTTCACTTACGTTCCTTCTGCGTGGTTTGCCTCGTTGCAGATCTTCGGTTTTGACAAATTCCCGTGTGCCCCGTCCCCTGGTAGCCCGGTGGTTGTTCCCAGAGTTGTAGGCGCCTCTAGAGTTATCTGTACGTCCTCCACGGGTGCCACTGCGCGAGCTGAACTCTCTGAAACTTCGCCCACGGCCACGTCCACCTCCTCTGGCTCCAGCGAACGCCTGCTCTTCATCTATGAAAATCCAGTTGTTCCGACGTGGAGCAGCTGGGGGCTCTCTATTTTCAGAGTTTTCTTTAGTCTGGGATTTAGTACTGTCCCAGTTGTTTTCTTTATTGGAATCTTCAATTGGGTTGATTATCTTTTCTATTTTAGGTGGAGGTGGCTGCTTCTCCTCAAGAGAAGAAGTCAAAGGAGCTGGGGCTGAAGCTGGATGCCTACTGGTTAGGGGCTGGTTGTCCTTTTTCAAATCATACACGTTAGTAAGGACTTCCTTTTCAAGTCTATATGGAACAGGCTTCTCTTCAGGTTCCGTTTTGGGCTTCTCATTCTCCTTGTCTTCAACCTTTAAAGCTTTTAGCACTGGCTTCTTGATGGGCCCTGTTCTCCTAAAGGTTCTTCCACTAGACTCAGACGGCTGGCTAACGCTGCTGCTACTGCTGGAGCCAGGCTCAGACCACTGAGCCTGTCCACAACTGATGTCTTTCTTCAGAGAACCGTCCTTCTTCCAGAAATCTGAGTCGTAGCTCTTCTCCTTACCCTCACAAGCATCATCTCGGGAATCTAGGTTCTCTCTCTGGGGTCTAGTAGTGGAGGGCTCTTTCTGGTGCTCTGCTTTAGAGTAGTCACTCTCTCCTGGGTGCAAGCGGCCATGAGCTGAAGGCTGATGGGTTTCTTCAAGGCTGGCGTCTCGCTGCGACCCTAAAGACATGTCAGAACCGCGGCCCTGGCGATATGCCTGATGGGGGAGGTCTTCAGCAGGGCTGTCGACTCGATCGTTTGCTCGCTCCTCATAGGAGTCCTGCTGAGAGCATGACCTGTCACTCCTGCAAAAAAGGGGGGGGCGGATTATGATATTATAATAGCCTTGATATAATTACTTGACCTTTCAAAACTTATGGTGTAAATTTACAGTTTCACAATGTTCATGTTGTTGAAGTTCAGTTATAGTGTAACTATTTACAATGTAAAAACAGACAGACCATATATTTTAATTAGGAACACACTAAAATCTCGGCCACTGAAATGCTCAAAAATGATACTTATGGCAAAAACAAACAAACAAACAAAAAAAAACAAAAAAAGGCACAAAATTTTGGCCATAAGGGGGACAAAAAAACATCAATGTTTAAAAATCAAATACCTCCCAAATTATTTATTACAGTAATTAAAATTGCTGTTTTCCAGTAAAAATAATAACTTAATGTTAATGAGTTGGTTTTCATGACATCACAGAAATTAATAAATACAAAAGAGGGGGCAGTGTAGTTTTCATATATGGGTTGCATCGTGAATATTTAAAAAATTTAACAGTGTTTTTTGAAAAGAAAGAAAGGGGGAAAATAAATAAATAAATAATAGCCAACCTGTCATCGGCGTGACTCCTGTCAGTGTTGTCATGCTGCCTCTGGTAGGGTGGGGTGAAACTGCGAGCTGGAGGGTAGCCGTCTTGGCTCCAGACAGGGTAAGGCTCAGTGGAGGGCGCTCTCCTCTCCTGGTGTAAGCTGGGATGGCTTCCCTCATCAGAGGCAGAGCCAGGACTGTTGAGGCGATCCTGCTGCATGACTGGCTTCATCATTCCTGCACATGGTCCACAGACAATCAATAGTGAGGAGGAAAACCTAGAGCCCTTTCACAGCAGACACATTAAGTTGTACAGCAGATGGCGCTGTAGCTCTGAGCAAATGCACTTTGTTTTTAATAGCACTACAGGAACAAGCCATTTACTGTAAATATAAACGTCCACTAAAGGCAACATTTCAGAAACAAAAGCATATGATCTTCAGATTTTTTGGCTCTTTGGTAGTATTACTACCTTTACTGCCAAGACAACCTCAGATCAATGATTACAGTCACTGATATTACTACTGTAATTTTTTCTAGTACAATTACCAATAAAAACATTATAAGCATCTATTTATATGGCATTTTATTTCAGTTACCAAACATGAAACTGCAAACAGGAATATAAGTAAACCACTGGAAAAATAAAGCACTGTAGTGTGACTGAAAACAGCAGCAAACAGGAGAAAATAAGCCGAAATACTCTTGGCATAAGCTGGGTTAAAGTTTTTTTCCCCCCTCCATTATTATTATTATTATTATTATTATTATTATTATTATTATTATTATTATTATCATCATCACGGTGATCACAATATGCATTTCTGAGCATACTGTGGATATAGTCAACCTTTAAAGATCAGTGATCGACTGTTAGCTCCAATAAAAAGAGCATAATAAGTCCTATTTAACTGAAATTAATAATCAATGTATTTGTAGTTGTTAAATAATAATCATTGTGTTTGAAATAGCGGTTTTAAATGTTGCAGGATGAGCACATTTGTCTGTCAAAATATAGTGGTATCAGGTATTGCAAAAATTTAAGTATAGTGATACTACATCACCACTATTACAGACACAAAATGACTTAAAATAAAAACACTGAACAGTAAAACAGGCAGCGAAACTAAACACAGAAACGAAATGAAAAAGTAAGAATAATTAACTCACCAGAGGAGTGGACACTGGGAGGGTAATAATCGACTGGGGAGCGGCCTTGGGTCATACGGGGGTCCATGTAGGTAGGCATCATCATCCAGCGTGGATCAAAGCCCAGAACATGTGCAGGATAATATCCTCGCTGTGGGTGGCCTGAGCCAGACTGGGGTGGATGACCCGACTGCTGCCACTGCTGCATCTTGTACACTTGCTCCTGAAAACAACGGCGCAGAACCATCATACACAATATTCGCATCAAATAAGGAGACATTTAAATCAAGTATGACTTTACAGAAAGAGAAGACAGCAGAAATGACTTTAGAGTATCCACAGAAACACAACAGCTGCGTGATCTCTCGTTATTGCTACTGCCTTTTGCAATATCGATACCAAGACTGTAGTACACAAATGAACTAACAAACCACAACGCTTTTACTGTGTGCTGTGAGAATCTTGACCAAATCACAGTTGCATATACGTTTCTGTGGATGTTTCTGATGAATGATTAAATTCGTGCAGACCAGAAAAATAAAATTACTCTGGTCAAAATAATGCAAATCTTTAACCACTTAACATTAATCATTCATCTCTGTGGTTATAATCCATTTCTAGGTTTGACAATATGCAGCAATACAATAATAATAATAATACTAGTACTCCATCTATGTCAAGCAGCACTAGGTACTACTAGAGCTAGAAATATTTGCTAATTTGACCATAAACCTCTCAAGCCAGGTTCTGACAATTTCTCTAATATCCACTGACATTGCACCATGTTCAGATTTCACATTTAGGTGCCTGCATTTATCTGGCTGCTTTAGTTTTTTTACCTTCACTTTTTCTTTCTATCTGCTTTAAATACTAATTAAATACTTAAATACTTTAAATACTTAATGCTAATTAAATGCACGTTTCAAAGAAGAAAAAAAAAACCCTAGCAGTATTTGTCTTTTTATGCATTATTCTGTACAGCCCACAGATTCATCAGTTACAGAATATATGAATTTATATCGTTTTTGTACTTATCAATCAGTTACATCTCTCTACAAAACCCAGCATGAATTCTGCAAACACAAACAGCCATCGCAAATCCCCCCACCAAAAGCAACAAAGATATACTAAACAATAGCAAAGTCACTGATGTAGAGGCTAATAAAGACCCCCCTCATATATTCACCCCAAAGCACTTTGTTTTTCCAAAAACATCATTCCACCTACCTTTCACCTGTTTTTCCCCTTTTCTGTATTTGAATATTTTAGACTAATGTTAAAACTTTATTCTTTGTTCATTTTGCTCTTGCGTTATTGTTTGCTATCTGGTGTCGACCAGAGGAGGCCGAGTTCCCCTTCTGAGTCTTGGTTCCTCTCAAGGATTTTTTTTACTTATGCTCTTAGGGAGTTTTCAGGGTCTCAGAGCAGGATTTTTCTGTAAAGCTGCTTTGTGACAACGCCTGCTGTAAAAAGTGCTATATAAAATCAACTTTGACTCGACCTTTCAAGAACACTATCACAAGGCGTCCTTCATAGTCACTAAACAGGAAAATCCCACTCTGGGGGCTACCGCAACACCACTGTAGGAGGCAAGTAGGCATGATTACAACAGATGTAGGCACGGTTACTTTTGTCATTGTGGCCATTCTGAAATTACTCAGTGGATTGATGCAAAGTGCTCTGTTCTAGAGATGAGTTGGAACTGATCACAGTGGTGGTGACAGGAACCAGACGTCTGAAAAGTTTAAGAAATAGTTATGAATGTGCTGCTTGACGCCTAAAACACTGCTTACAGATTTTTGCCTAAAACATTTTTAAAGCCTATTCACGGTGTTGTGAGGCAAGACAGTCAATTATTATTTTTTTTTTAACCATTATCAACATTACATTTAAATCACACATATTCAGAATATAGGTGTGGGTTCACTGGTGGTTTTGGATAGTAAATAAAATGGCTATTTTATGTTGTAGTTTACAGCGGTGGTGATGGGAACCAGCGGTTGTGATATTCAAGTCTCTACAATAAACCATTTCACACCAAACCACTCTGAATTAGTTCCTCAATCAATGCACTATGAAGAAATAAAGAAAAAATAGTGGAATTTCCCTTTAACATTGGGTAAGTAGGCCATTCATGTACTTATTTTTGTTGCTATAGCTGCTACATGGTAACCGGTGCCATCATTAAGGATGTGGAGGTTTTTAAGTCTCCAGTTGGTGGTGATCAGGTTAAGTCCAAATTTTGTCAGGCTACATTTGAGACCACAATTTCAGGCCCGATCAAAGCTCCCCCTTCTGCCAGCATTACAACAGAAGCCACATGCTCTCTTTGAACTCTGCTAAAGCTGCCCTCTGCAGTCCCAACACTGATCCTGGAGAATTACAGGACTAGAGACGTCAGGGCTTGCGGCCTTTGAAGGGTTCAGCTGTTGCTCACCTGCTGCTGATGCTGCTTTTGGAAGCGTGGCGGGACGGCCTTTTGGTGCCGGCCGTAATCTGGGACGGGAGAAGTGGGCTCTGGACAGTCATCCTCGTTCCGGTAGCTGAAACCGTTATCTCTGTAATCCTGGCTGGACGACTGATCAGAGGGCTGCTCCGACACTTCTAAAAGAGAAAAGCAATGTTAGGGGCATGGGGGGTGGGCAGCCAATACAGAGGTTTTAAACATTGACGCAACATTATACATAACGACAGCGGAAGACAAAATGAAAAAGACAAAACAAACAAAAAAAAAACAATCATAATGAAATGAAAAAAGTCATGCATGACTGAGTGACTGGAATGATCAGCGTTTAATATAAGAGTGCATTTAGACAGCAAAGTTGGAATGGGAATTTTGGGCCGACGCAGACGTATTTTTCTATGTGCACAACTTCTGGTGTTGCAAAACATTTATAAAATATAGAAATCAGGACTAAATTTAGCTGGAAATGTTATATTTATGCAGAGTAAAGAATGCAGAAAATAAAATATGGACATTTTAGCGCAGTAACTTAGTGTTCACTTAAACATTTTGCTCTTCCTGAGTACAATAAATACATCAAGTAATGGCCTCAAATATTAAGCAAATCTAATCATCTGTATGACAGTTATTTTTGTTATAACCTATCTGCTGAAAAGATGAGTTTGATATAGTGCATCTCTACCCTGGAAACAAATGATATCGCTGGTCAAGACTGATACCATCGTCAAACTGTCAAGACTAACAAAGTTAACTGACGATCGTTGAGGGGTGCTGAAGGGGTGCTCTTCATGAAAACCATTACTAAACTTGTGTTTACCTTTAGTGCCATACTGCCAGCTGTCCTGGTGATGTTTTGCCAAATCTCTGCCTGGAGACTGTGATAGCTCCTTACTTTCCACACCGTGTGGCTCCCTCTGTGTCTCCACACAGCGAGCAGGTTTGTCAGTTTTGCCGAACTTCTCGTCCAGCTTTTTGAGTTTTTCTGCACAGGCGGCCAGTCTCTCCTCACGAGCGCGGCGCTCTTCCTCCTCGCGCCGACGCCGCGCCCTCTCCACCGCCTCAGACAGATCTGCAGAGACGAACTTTCCCCGAGGAGGAGCCGGGCGCTGATTATCGTCTTGATCCTCCGCAGACTCACTGGTCTTCTGCTGGGGCTAACGAAGAAATGAAAAGAATGACACTTTAAAAAAAACAATGAATTACCTAAATACAAAGAGCAAATATAATTTGCTTTTCAGATGTTCTATGAAACACCAGTGCATCAATTAGAAGAAGGCAATTCAACTGGATTGATTGATTGATTATAGAAGATTAAACAATTACAATCAATAATAGCAATAATAAGACAATAAGTTCACACTTTTTTGGTCAAAGTAAAATTCAGGTTATTTCCAAATAATGAATACATTTACTTTTTTAGTGTTTCACTGAAATCACACATACAGCTTGCTGGATTCGTGTGACTGTCTACATGCTGCTACTGGGTAATTTCTCCAGTCACATGTGTGTATTCAGTGTATATGGCAAAAAAATAAATAAATAAATAAAATCCTAAAAACAAAATGACAAAACTGTATCAAGTGGTTTTGTTAAAATAAAAAGAAATATATTAAAAAAAAAAATGGACAAGCTTTGTTTATTTCAATCAAAATGTCCTTACTTATGTACTTAGTTTAGTTTTCTCCCATATTTTCAGTACAAGATTATGCTAATTAACCACGGTAACATTCCACACCTCACCCAACAGCTAAATGTAACTTTGAATCGTGCTAATTAAAAATAATAGAATCACAGAGAAAACTGTGTTAACCCCCCCTCCCCAACAAGTCATCTAAATGTCAATGCACTTTAAATGCGGTAATTGTGTATTCAGACAGCTCTCATGAACGCCTAGCTTTAGCTCTTATTACCTGCGAGTCTGCTGAGATGTATCTGCCGTTGGTCTTCCTGGAAGGCAGAAGATCTTGCGGGTGCTGGTAGGAATCTTCCTCTGGCTCCTGTGGATACTGGCCTTCTCCTGAACTCATGGAGCACTGACGCTCACGGTGAGGCTCCCACTCTCCCCTACAGCAAACATCCCATTTAACTTTTAGGGTTGAAGAGTTTCGTTTTACTGTAATGTCTACTTTACGGCTGTGCAGCATGTTCTTTGTTAATTATTATGGTGACATTAGCTTGTATAACTGCAATACGCAAAAGACCTTCTAACCAATCACAGCATGCTGTGAGCATTCTGACCAATGTTACCAATGAGCTTCTGTAGGTGAATCATGATATTTATTAAATCCAACAAATAAATTACTTTGGGTCAAAATAACATGGGCCAATATTTAACCCTGAAAAATCATGGATTCGCCAGTGAGCTTTTAAAATATTGCAAAGTATGGCAATATAATCTTATTTTGTCTGCCACATGCAGCCTTAGCCTGTCATTTTATATACGCACCAAATCTTATTCTTCTCACTAGGGCAATGATCCTCTTCATCGTCACTAAATTTGAGCTTCTCGCTGTAATCCACCTCCTCATGGAGACCTAGAAAATAATAATCAATTTAATTATTCAAACATTTTTGGACTTCCGTAGGGGTACCGTGATCCAATGTACTAGATCCGCATTTGCACTGATGCTAACCTCATTACGGATCAGGTAAACACGATCAATCCACATTTAAATGTTCAGTCACCAACATTACCCATGTTTTGGCCCAGATTTTGTTTGTGAAGGCCTTTCTATTCAGCTACATTGACTGTCTTCTTTGCCAGACTATTTGATTCTGATTTGATCAAGCATGAGTGGCTATTGTGCACAAGTAAAAATAGAAACTGGAGCAGGGGATATATATATATATATATATATATATATATATACACACACACACACACACACACACACCACATACATTGAGTTCTACTTAAGCTGAGCAATCTGAATTTTTGCGCCTGTCACTGGAGGGATGGGCGATGTTTTCAATATTACAGAGCTACTTTAAGTATCCCAACAGATGAGGTAATATTTAAAAAGTGTAAAAAAAAACAAAAAAACAAAAAAAAAAATAAAAAAAAACACAACATATTAAATAGGCCTGGCTTGGCTTTAAAGATTTATCATTTGGCCACATGGTGGCGCTAAACAGCTGTGATCGACTACGACTAGAGCTTATAATTATGAATTTTCAACCCCCGACTAGGAAAACCCAAGGAAATGGCACCTCCACTAAGAATTCAGCACTTAAAAATAAATAAATTAATGAATTAAAAAAAACAAACAAACAAAAAAAACAAACAAAAAAAAACAACACATACCAACCTGGCTGCTCATGACTTTTTACACCGTTAAACATGACATGCAGTTATATGTATAGTTAATTATCACGGCCTCAACAGAACAGTAACATCGGTCAGGATCATACTGGCATTGACATCATCAAATTGCCCAAGCCTGGTCCCTGGTTAACGTACCTGCCCATCCGTCCTCACAGTCGTTGTCCAGGTCATCCAGGTCTTTCAGGTCATCAGGGTTGATGATGGCGGGACGGGGTGCCCTGTCTCCAGGGCGACGGATAGGTCGAGGTGAGGGACGAGGGGGCACTCGGGTGAAACGGTTCTCCCTTCGCACGTCTCCACTAAAAACACACAAAAATAAAATAAGCTACATTCCACAGAGAGATTTCTGATTATGAACTATGATAAGTACCACAATGGGTTCTTTCAGTGATGCAACAGAAGAACCACTTTCGTCCCATTAATGTGTGAAAAAGCTTTAAAGAATTTAGGCCTAATCCAGTTCAACCCTGAGAGAAAATATTCAACATATGTTGTTTTTCCCTTATATGTTATTTTCTCAAGGGTCTTAACCATGTTTACTGTAGAGTTTTAGCAAATTGCCTTTTGTTGTAGAAAAGTAATAACTGTCACCCGACCTATGCAGAAAGGGATGAGGGTGAAAGGTCAACTCTAACCTTGTCAACTCACTCCTATGTTTGTACTGAGATGATCCTTTGTCTCACAACCTTAAGGTGATATCACCCCCTCATCTCATTTCATATTCTCCTTCTACACCAACTCCTTTTCTTCCTCCTTCCTCCCCCACAGTTTTGCATGTATATAAGATCCTTTCAAAATATTCTTGTTAGCCTACAGACAGACTGCTGATTGACTGTTGATCGATCACGCTGTACCCATGGTTCTCTGTATGTGTAAAACTCTAGTCAACGCAGAAGCTCCCCTACCGCTTCGTTTTGAGCGTTCACAACTAGGGGTAGGGTGTCCCAATTTTTTTGGAGATAGAGGGGTAGGGCGAAGTGTTTGGGCTACATGGCCCTCAAAGGTTTTTTAAGAGTCACACTCCAAACAGTGTGTTATGGGAAACAAAGAAAAACTGGCAAGATGGCTGAGTAAGTCACCAAAGAAACCCACAAATGTGAGAATTTTCTCTGTTAAAAATTACAGCACCACTGTATTATATTAGTTTAATGCCATTCAGTGCATATCGCTAGTAGTATGCTGATGTCTTGGTAGCTAGCTAAATGTTCCACACTTAAGGCGGAACGGGAAAATTTGAACAGGAAGCTGGCGGACAGCTGACTTCAGCTTCTTATCAGTGAAGAACTGGGAGTGGGTGATAATAAATAACTCTGCTTCTATGAAGCACCGCTAGCAGCCTGTTAAAAAAGTAACGTTCTTTATTTGAGGGTCCCATTTCGTAGGGGAAGATTTCAAGGGGTAAAAACAAGAATGGGATTGGGCCTTAGAGAACCTTTACACTACGTTCATACATCTCATTTACAAAAATGTTTTTCTAAAGAACCACCCATAGTGGGGTTCTTTAGGCAATCAAGAGTGGTTCTTTTACAGCAAAGATGCTCAATTCCTGTCCTGGAGAGATCAGCTTTAACCCAAATCTAGCACACATGCTCCTGGAAATTAAAGCCTTCAGGAGCATCTTAATATTCAGGCCAAGTGTGTTGGAGCTGAACTCTACAGGGTGATAGATATACAGGATCAGATTTGGGCACCCCTGTTCTACGAAATCACGCAAAAATTAGTGGGGATCAATAACAGCGTACCTTTTTTCCCCCCACTCTGCACTACAACACCTGAATTAGCAAATGAAATACCAGTAGTTGATGAGCTGCATCTCATCAATCCAGTCCTTGCAGAACTCATTTTTGCTTTATTCCAGCCTTTTAGTACCTGTCGTGATCTTTTGTAGCTACTGTCGCAAGCTTTACAGAATGCGTTAAAAACCCCATTTAGTCTACTGTGAAAGTGTATTACACAACTCCGATGTATTCAGATAACCGGTTACTGTAGTGAGCGAACACTGATAGATGAAGACAATTCGAAATTCGAAATTACGTAACAAATAATGAAATCGTAGTTTGAAGCCAGTGCACCTCACTAAGGTGACACATCAGTAGCTCAGAGTTTGGTACTTACTTGACAGGCTCAGGAGCAGTGAAAGCTGGTCTAAAGGTGGGCCTGGCGTCAAAGCGCATGGGGGCGATCACAGCGGCAGAGCCGTGCTCAGTGGAGCCAGGGCCATCTCGAGTCTCTTTAGGGCACATCTGAATAAAATCAGACAAATAAAAGTCAACAAATAAACACCACCAACAACACCACCACAAACACCAAAAAAAAAAAACCCTAGGCAAAAACTCATGAAAACGCAACTGTGAAACGAAATCATCACAGAAACATTCTAACGACTAAGAACTCGCATTTCAGCCTCAGAAAAACAAACAAAAAAACTGCTTAAATCAGGATAGCCAACATTAGGCAGTAAATGAATAAAACAACTTAAACAGTTGGCTACAAAGTAAAGCTGGGATAGCAAGTGTGCTAGCCAAGTCAATAGCTATTATAACTTTATTCATCAGCCAATATAACTGAAGTTTTAGTAAATTACAAACCACATTCCTTTCATACCTACTATAACCAGCTGGATTAGCGATTATGAGAGCTAGCTTGCATGTTTGCTCTTCAAACTGTAGACTAACCAGCTGGTTCAAGTTGTTTTGCCTCTTTCCTTTAAACACCACATTGACTACATGTAGTGCTTCAGTTGATCAGACTAAAGGTTTTTCTGTAATGAAAGGCTTGTGATTTGACAGGTGTTGAGTTTTATAATGCAACAGCTGCAGCTAATTAGGAAAATACCAAAATTCCCCACTAAATACATGTCTTGACTCTGACATGAACTGACTTATCAACATCTCTGTTCACTTTTCACTCGCAAAAAAACTAAAAACCTCCTAAAAATCCTATCTTTAACTCTTCTCTGCAATGTATAACTTTCTGTGCACACTTGGGCCTTCTTGGTAATTCTGTGTGAATTGTAACAGATCTTAATTCTTGTTTTTTAGCCATTTCCTCCCTGTACTGTACTTACAAAGGCAGGCAGCATGTCATGGTAGGTGGTGGTGGTGTGGTGGAGCTGGTACTGCAGGGCAGAGGGCGCTGCTCTGCGCAGTGGCTGAGCCGGTCGCAGCGACGGCTCCTTCAGATCGGGAGATGGAGCTGTGGCAGTGGGGGCGGCATTGGCAGACGAGGACAGGGAGGAGGGGGCGGAGGATGAGGAGGGAGGAGGAGGTGGAGGAGGAAGAGGTGCTGCGGTTTCAGTCGGGCCGCTGGCCTTGCCCTCTGTCTCGGAGGAGAGGGCGGGGGACAGAGAGAGGGGCTGTAGATTCCGCCCGCCCCCCTCCCTCCAACTCGTTACGTCTATGAAAGGAAAGAAAAAAAAATTAATAACTACTGGAAGAGGAGGACAAATCACTTACATTTTATTTGTAAACACTGATTTTTTCCCCATTCGCTTTTTCCCCCCAACAGCAGATTTAAGATTTCATGCACATTCTGCATTTTTTTGGGGATTTTATTCTCAAAAACAAAAAAAGCGAAGGAAATTTGGTTTTCCATGATATGGGCACTGAAATTGACAGGCAGGTGGAATAGAAACACTTACTCTGAGGGCGGAGGCTTGGTCCTGGCCCATACGACAGATCGAAGGCGCTTCTTTCCTTGCCAGCCTTGTCCTGTTCTCCTGCTGCTTTCAGCGTCGGAAATTCCTCGTGAGAGAAGGGCTGCAGTCGGCTTGAGGCCCTTAAACCTGCAAAACAGGTAAAGGATGGTGAGATGTGTGCACTTAACCACATATTTATTAATTACTTATTAGTACTCATCAGGCATCTATTACAAGTATTAGTTTAGCATTTTCTAAGCACCCGTTCTTTTTAATATGTATATATCTGTATTTCAACTTTTTTTGTATGACTAGCTTTCCACTTCTATTAAGCTCTCATTGTATTCATTTTTTTTTTGCCATATGCTGTTTCACTGTATAATGGGTTGCATTTTTATGTATGACAAACTATATAAAGACTGACTAAGATTATTTAATCTACATACAGAGTTCTAGACTCAGAATTATTTACAGTGGCAGCAAATGGAACCAGTCATTTGAAGAGTTTACTGCCTACTAATATTCCTCATAAAACCTCAAGACACGAGTAGGCTCACTGGTGGTTTTAGATTAGTGTCGTACACACAGCGACCCCTGGTTTCTATCACCACTAATGACGCTCTCGTTATAATTAAATCCAAAACAAAGCCAAATTTGGAGGAGGTGTCGCGTTCGTCTCTAGAACGTTCTCTCCTAACTACTGCTTTTCAACTTATCAACACAGCAGACACCTAATAAAAACAACTCTCAGGGACTCCAGTGCAGAACGAACTGCGCTGAATGTAGGACCTTGAATTCACTTCTATTGGCACAGACGCAGCCTATAAAAGGCGACAAGGTTCTGACGTTTTGCTTTACGCACACACAGCATAGGTCATCACAACCGAACATGACAATGACCTTTGGGTTTGTGTGCAGTTTTTCTATATCTGATGTACGTGTTGTGAACAGGATAATGAAAAAAAACGTGAACAGGATAAAAAAATGTTACCATCTTGATCTACTGCCTTTCCATTTAGTTGTGCCCATTGCTTTGGTCCACCTGTGCTTGTGCTCTGTAATAGTTTAAAAACAAAGAAAAAAAAAAAGAAAAGAATGAATACTACAGGTACAAATGCAACATTTATTGCTGACATAAACTGTGTTAGTACAAACTGCATCATGAAATGTCACTCCACCACAATTTAATTTATTTTGGCATAATTAAGAACTTTTTAGAACTGATTTAACAAACTTAATGGAAGGAACTATTTACACTAATAACAATAAAAACAACAAACCAAGCTTTTTAGACATTTGGTCACCCCCCCGCCCCCATGTGATTACCATAATAATCAATTATCTTCGCCAAAATTGATGCAGAATGACTCAGCACTTTCAGACTGCTGCATCACAGTGTATTTACACTCCTAACAAAAGTGAATGTAGGCTTCAAGTTTTATTTATAGCCAAAATAAGGTATGAGTGCTGCTGCAACAAAACCCTGTATCTCCAAAATTGTAACTTTACAGGAAAAGGACAAAAGTTCTAACTTCAAACAGAAACTAGTAATAACGTTTGAAATGTGGAGCATTTCTGTTGGTGTACTCATCAGGAAATTTCATCACAAAATAAAGAGCAGCTGATATTTTCAAAAGCCTAATGGACACAAGGTTTTGTGCCAACAAAGTACATAAACAAATACTGTAAGTCATATTTAATTACTTTTACAGTAAATTACACTTGGGACAAAAAAATACCTAAATTTATGCAATCAAGTTGTTTTGATACTTTATACCACAAGTTGCAAAGCTCTCTTTTTCTGTCTCACTACATTATATACATAAATTAATTTGCTGTCTACACTTTTTTTTTTTTTAATAATACACAGTTAAAAAGCCATAAAAACGGCCCGTATACTGAAATGTCACATGCTCCTTCTTACCTCCTGGCTGGCTGCCGGTGTTGGCTTCTGAAGATTGGAGACAGATTTCTGCAAAGGCAGCTGTGGCTGCGACTCCTGCAGCTGTGCTGTCGATGCAATGGAACTGAAAAAGAAAAGAGTAAAGAAAGACGTGTTTAGCCTGTCTGCTGCGCTGATCACACAAGGAGACAAAACGCGCTGACTCATCATTTTAACCAAGAGCTCCTTTAAAAATGATGACATCAAAACAGGGAAATAACATTTTTCCTTCAAAATATTCTTTGAAACAGGTTTGCATTAGGACTGGGAAACATGACTATATACTTATCGTGACAAATGTTCTGAGCACACTGTGGACGACATTGTTATATTCATAGTTTTTGAAGGTATTTTTAAACGTGGCACTGCTGACTGCTTTTTAGCTTCTTTTCCGACTTGCCAAATCTCAGAAAATTAGATGTTATGACATCACATCTGGTGAATATATCCAAGTACTGTGAAATTATTTTTTGCTGCATCACCCACTTTACTATGCATGATTTGTTAATAAAATAAAATAAAATAAAATACACTTATTTGATAATTTGCTCAAATAAGTGTATTTGTTTTGGTGCTGGATTAGCTGCCCGTTGATTTCCATTCTAGCCATGTTTTAAGTAACTAAAACTTCTGAATGTTTCGGTATATCTATTTTAGAAGCTTAAGTTAACCCTTTTTTTATGTTAACATTTCTGTATTACTACAAGATGTCTTCAATTTTATACAACCATTTTCGACAAACAGAGCAAATCTGAAATATTTTTTATTTTGCCAAACAGTAAAAACAAAACTGAACGATGCATCAATAAACCTGTCAATATTGCTTTCTAACACTAGCTGCACAGGCCTGGCAAAAACACTTAAATGTTGACTCAAATATGAATTGCTGGCTTCTTATTTGGCAGCTTTTAGCTCAAACTTTGTTCCACCTTCAATCCACCTGTACAGGCGCCTCAATAGCCACGTTTACAAGCCGCCTGATAACGCGTTAATAATTAGACTAATAGCTCAACCAGAATAGAATTCGTCCATGTAAATACCTCAATCAGAATAGACTAGTCCGATTGAGACAATTCAAATACAATTTCTATTTAATTAAATGAGGTGGGCAGTCATATAAATAATCTGTTAAATAGAAGAAGAATAACCAAGTAAACACCTGTACCTGATTAGATTCCTAATCGGAAAATTTAAGTACGTTCTGCGCATGTGCGTTAGCGTTCGCATTAGCGCAAGTTTATAACGTTCCACATGGTGGGAGCAGAAACTGGTCTGCAGATGAGACGAAGTTTAATCTCTAAAAGACGGCGGTGGGACAGGTGTCCAGCTTATGTGTCTCAGAACACGACGTCTTCCTCTCGTCCTTCTTTTAATCAGTACATGTGAAGTACGTTTTCCTGAATTTGACCATTGTAAAAATCGTTTTGAAGTAATTAAAAACAAGTGCGCCAGCTGAAAACTCACAAACACACTGCTGCTGGTTTCACTCTGATTGGACTCAGGAGATGCTCACTGTCATGGTAACGTCTACACTAAGTGGTTCTCTACACATGCATGTAATTTTGAATTGGATTACTTGTAGTGAGCATGTAAACAGACTTTCCATCAGGCTGCTGAGTAGAGTGAGAATATAAACACCTCAGTCTTATTATGTAATCGAATTATATCAAACCGGATCAGCAAAAATCTTTGGCCATGTTTACATCCAAATGTAGCTGCTGTACCATTTAAGGTGGATCAGAAATTAAAAAAAAAGAAGGCAAATTTAGCTTTACAAAATTTCTCAAGTTGTTAGTTTTTTGTTTTTTTTTTATATGTCGATCACAAACATCTGCCCCCCCCTTTACCATCAGACACAGCTGGAGTTTCGAAATTACGACAGTCACTTAGGCTTCAGTACACTCTTTAAAAAGATGGCTCTTCAGAAGTTCTTTACTAAAGACAGCGGCTCTATATGGAACCATGAACACTCATAGAACCACTTGCATGACCAAATGGTTCTTCAGATTGAAGAAACGTGCTGTATATGGCTCTAAACAGAAGCCTTTCAACAAAGCACCAAAAAGGGTTTTTCTACTTTCTACGTTACAAGCTTGACATCTTAACAATAGCAGAACCTTCTGTGGTGTTACATACAACCATTTTCAAAAAGGTTCTATAGAGAACCATATACAACACGTTCTCCGTCAATCTGAGGAATCATCTCACCATGCCAAGAACCATTTAAGCATGTAAGTGGATCACTGAGTGTTCTATATAGAACCACTGCCTTTACTAAAGAACAGGCGGTACAAGAGGAAACAGAAGAGCTCCGGTGTCCATGTTACATTAATGCCAGCACCAAAAAAAACGTCCGTTCCTTCACACCTGCTGCCTCGAAAATAAAGCGGACTGCTTCAGATGACGTGGACTAGACAGCGGGAGGTGATGGAGGGTCTGCTGCATTTGCATTTGAAACGTGACAAAGATCCCCGACACATACATTCAGCTAAACGGACTAAAAGTGTAGTAGGCACTGTTAGTACATCACATTATCTGTGCTTATTTGTGGCAACACGGTTATAAAACTCATACCTGAAGATTTCAACTTCTATTTAATCATTTAAACAAAGAACTGTGCTTAATATTACCAGGACATGAACTAGCCAGGTAAAATTTGATGACAGGTTGACTTCAAGTTAAAACAACAAGTCTTTTTACAGCAAATATTCATCCTCCACCAACTCTCTCCAATCATCGCCTACTGAGTTACAGCAGCATAATGTTCTCCACCCACACAGACAGACCTTCAGAAAAGAACATCTCACTTCTTCACTCATTCACGTAAACACACACACTTTCCTTTCACTAGCACTCCCCCTCTCTCCTTTGTCTTGAGAAAGGAAAGAATCACCTGCTGACGCACCTTAGTTCCTAACCAAGGCCGAAACACACACCCAGGACACAACCCACGGCTCTGTGGAGACTCACTCCATCTTTAAATATCTCTATATCCCTCCACATCTCTATTCAGAGAAGGAACTGCTTTTTAAAAGACAGCTTTGGCTAATATAGACCTAAGCATGAACTGAAGCAGCACTATCGGTTTTTGGCCAAAAAGCAAAAAAACCCTAAGGAGAATTCCACCTAATTTCAAATTTGCATAATTAAATGGTTAAGATGTAAACATGTTCATTCAGAGTGGTTTGGTGTGAAATTTACTGAGTCAGAATTGTTCACTGTGGTGGTGATAGGAACCAGAGGTCCTCCTCTGAAAGCTCCCGCACAGAAAATACATGATGCCCGACACGTCGTCTTAACGATAGCTTTGAGTACAACAAAATTTTTAAATCCACTCATAGTGGAGAGATACGTGCAGGGCATTGTACAGCAAAATAGTCCCCAAATAAACCTTTTAGATTTTTCACTATTTTACCACCATCAACATTAGACATCCGTTTCTGTGTTGTAGACATGGCGACCCCTGTTTCTGATCACCAAACCACTCTGAATGATTGCTTACCAAATTATGCAGACATTTTGAAAATTCCTCTTTAATGAACACTAATAAGTCTTGGAAATCTTGGAAAGTTGGGATGTAGGCCAGTTTAGTGACCCTGAATTTATTTGACCTTATTATTTAATTACTCTTTGCAAGTATACATACAGCAACAGCATTTGGGCCCAAATCTCCTGCCGTTTTTCCATCATGCTCACTACAGTCACACAAATGATTGTGCTGCGGCTTGAATTTTAGCACCAGGCAACGAGTTAGTCCACACAGCTTTACCCTACCTCTTTTGATCGGATTGTTCCTGCTTGTTCGCCCATCCTGTTCCGTCTTTGGGCACAATAATCACGTTTGGATCGTTTCCTTTATTTTCGGATTTCAGGCTCGGCAGGTGAGCGGGTGGGGGCATGCGCCGGGCAGTGGCCACTTTACCGAGACTCTGCAAGCCATGTCGTGGAACAACTGATCGAGAGGGAAAGAAAGGAAGAGGATAAATTAACAAAATAAGCCTTTTAACAGTGCTTTTATATTTTATCCCACTTAGATACATTACAAACAAATGCATTTACTTCATGATTAGAATACATACAACACTGCATCACTGCCATTACACACAATAAGTCCATATCCAACATTTTTCTTGCAATCTGATAATACAATTCCCAGCCCACTCAAGGTGCATGTAGCCTTTGCGAAGGCCTATTAAATAAAAATAGTTAAAACTCATTTTTACATGGTCATTTAGATAAAATGCTACAAACTGAAATATGTAAAGAAAATGGTTTTAGTGACATCACTAGATATTTTTGCAGCTTATTTTCGATTATATGGGCTGGGGAGTCAATGTTAATGTTTCAAAACGAACCAATGTTTATTTGCTCTGCGAAAGCCGTTTCAAAATAGCAGGGAGAATATAGTTTTCCATGATATGGGCCCTTTCAAATCACTATATAATACTACAATACTAAGGACTGTGGTCCTCACACATAAAACACCATGACATGACAATATAGACATGACATTATAGATCATGTCATCACATAGCTCAACTTGCGTTGCACATCATAGAATTTTTTTTTTTAAAACAAAACATTTCTTAAAGTAAAAAGTCAGTTATTATAATCTTACCTGTGGTTTTCTGAGTTTCTATTGACTTTCCCTTGTACTTGTCAAATAGGCTGAGCGAGGAATACTTGCTTTTCCCATCCTTGGACTTGGTTATTTGCCCCAAACGATCGGACATTGCGATGTAATGTCATCGAGTAAGGAAATTTTTCTTTGCGCCTCTTCCTCTGTACCTTCTGTTTCTGTGGATACAAATAAATAAATACATCTCAAGCCTCCATCATCTCAAATGCATAAATATACCCAGTACAGACACAGAAGGGGACATATTGCATTCTAGAGCAGCTAGAATTAGAATTGTTTACAGTGGTGGTGACGGGAACCAGACGTCTACAGAGTAATACCCCTAAAAAAAAAAAAAAAAAAAATTTGACCTTAAACGTACTTTTAAAACACATTCATAGTGGCGAGATACATGCAGGGTGCTGTGAGGCAAATTAGTCCCCAGAGAAAACCTTTCAAGTTTTCCACCATTTACGTTCCATCTAAAACTCGGGTGACATACATAGGTTCACTGGTGGTTTTGGATAGTAAATAAAACGTCTATATTTGTGTTGTAGTCATGGCAACCCCCTGGTTCCTATCACCACCACTGTAAAGGAATCCGAGTCTCTAAAATCAACCATTTCACACCAAACCACTCCGAATCACTCTGTTTACATTTCAAACTAATTATTTTGAAATTCTGAAAAACTGATAAATTTCTCTTCAATATTACCATTATTTTCTTAATCAGTTTGAAATCTTTTAAATCAGAACAGAGGTAATCTTTTACATGCCTGGCTTTAACCCAAATATCCATGATCAGCTTGAGCTGAATATTTTCCTCCTGGCAAAACCCAACAGCACGAGCTCGAATTCACATTCAGTACAGCCCTGAAAAGTCCTCGGCTGCCTCAGAGAGGTCCACCGTGTCCTACGTTCAGCTCAGTGTCACTCAGAGTTTTTCATCACAGAAAAATAACCAGTATAAAAAGAGCAAATCGTTAAATATAGCTCCACTCTCTTCTGCTCTTAACTGCTTCAAGCTCTAACGCAGAGTCAAGGACCTGCCCTGGCAACCCAAATGAAAATATGAGCATGATGTACAAATGAAAAAAAACGAAAGGTTTGCTTAATTTAACAAAAAAGTCCCACTACAATTCGCTGCTGTTGGAGCAAAACCTCATATCTCCTTTTTTGTTGTTTTTAAATTTTTTGACATAATTTGAACGTTCCTGTGGTCCTTCACATTGTGTGTAAATTTCATGACGAATAGACCAACAGAAACGGCCCAAAATTACTTGGACAAAAGTCGGTTTCCATTAACTTACATTAAAAGTAGAGTATGTTTCTTCTTTCTCTTGCAAAGTTCTCATTTTGGAGATTTGGCGATTTACATGTACAAAGTACAACCTGTGAATAACTTCCTTATGTCCACTAAACGGCTGATGTATTTTGCCAAATTTCTCCTCTATTGATGTGGGCGGCCCTAATCTTGGGTAGAGCCGACGTAAGCCGAATCCTCACCAATCACAAGGATGATGGGGACAATTTTACTGTCATCAACCTAGCTTTACAGAGCTTTACCAAAACTGTGCCCCCTCCACCTCCAGGGTCTCTCCGTGTTCAAGTGGGAGAAACTTAGAGGGGAAGCTTACAACCAAACGAAAGCCAACCTGGAAAGCATAACTGATCTATCAAACTAGCTCATCTGTCCGCCGGTCGTCCAATGCGGCGGGCTCATTAGAATATCAGAACGCATCCACATATTTCTCAGATCTGATGAGCCTTTTTAAACCCATGATTCTAAATTTCTATCTTTTGTTTCCATTACAACTTTGAAGGATGACTAATAACAATTTTAATATCATACAAACATTTAATATCTTACACTTTGTTCCCTGTGACTTACGCAACTGTTTTGTATGTTATTATTGAGCAATAGTACAGTACCCAAATAGTTAATCCTAAAATCAGGTTGTTCCATTAGCTCACTATAATCATAAAAACATCCTTATGCTACTGTAGCATGATTTTTTCCATTTTTAAGATCCACTGCTACTGGAGAGGGGTGAAAAAAAGCATGAATGTACTGTAAATATTGGGGCTGCATAATTTATCGTTTAAGAATTGTTATCGCAACATCAGCAGCGGTGATGTCGCAAAAGTATGAAATTTGCAAATTAGCCTCTAACTAATCAACAAATGTTTCCGGACCAATCGTAAATGGTCTCTGGCTTTGAATGAAATCATTCACATGATTCAGATAAGCTGTTGTCAAGATAATGTAACAAAGCAATATAATAACAATATGGTATTTTGCCCACATGTAGAGGTGTAGCATTTTCAGCATTGGTGTCATTTTTAAAAAGGATGCACAACAATACTGGAATCATATCAGTTTCAGACAGACGTTTGATGACGTTATCATGCTCAGAAATAACAGAATATGTAGGCAATGCGGAGTTACTGTACTAAAATGTCTGGGTTACATTCATTTTACTGAATTTTGTAACCATGCAAAACTCTTATTTTTCTCTGTAATGCTAATTTCTACATTTACCAGCATCATCTGACATGTATATGAAAAATATCTGATGTCGGCCTACAATTCTCACGTCCTGAATTTTTAATTTTGTGGAAAATTTACAATCATATTAGCATCTGCCGTATCAGCCTCTAACAAAATAAAGCCCTAAAATGTATGTTCTTTGGATAAAAAAGCCCAATCATTTGAGGGTGGGTGTGTCCATATCATCAGCCCCACCCACTTTACTCCAACAGGCTGCACCCACAAGCCTAGTTTTTATCCCTGATAGTGATTTCTATGAAGCACAGTAAACAAGAGATGCTCATAAGACACTGAAGGACGCTGGCCTTTTTTCTTTTACTTTTTATAGAAGCAAATTTTAACTTTTTGATATTGCAATAAAATCTTTACACCTTTAACATCACACAGCCTGATTACTTAACTACTGCCCTAATTTAACCTTTAAATAACCCTTTTTTTATACCGGTCTTCTTATTATCTCCACTCAGGTAGTTTATCAGGGTTAAATTTTTGACTTCCCAATTACAGGAAGAATCATCAATACCACAATATGACTTCTCCCCTTCCATGTCGTTCAGCCCTCATGAGACCAGAAAAGAGAGTTAAATGAACAAAGGAGTCACAACCTCTTCAGCCTCACAGCACTTCAAACAGTCTAATAAAAGCGACATAATTTCGTGCAGAAATCTGCGTGGCGCGCAATTACAGGAGTTCAAAATCTGAGCTCAGAAGGACCCCAACTACATAATCGGCGCTCAGATTAGTCACAAATGACTTTTCTAACACAGAGAGAGAGAGAGAGAGAGAGAGAGAGAGAGAGAGAGAGAGAGAGAGAGAGAGAATAGAAACAAACATCGGTCCGTCCACTGACGGAAAGAAAAATAATGATAATAATCCAGCATTCACGATCAGGGCTACATCATATTGTTTCTTAGTCATTATCACAAAACAGTCCTCTGCCATAGTGATGCAATGAGAAAACTGGGAATGAAATGGTGTAGCAGATATTTGCTGAAATCATGTAGCAGATACATGTTTAAAAATATATCAGCGTCGGACAGATGATTAGATTAGACTCACTGCAAACCGATGTTCAGTTTTTAGGCAACAGTGGGTTACTGTGTTAAAAATATCTGCATTTTATTCATTTCATTTGTAATCCTACATACATAAATGTTTCATTTCGCCATAATGTTATTATTGCTTATGTATCTGTATCGGCAGATATGCACAAGAAAAATATTGTATATAGGCCCACAGTTCAACATATCGGAGCAGCCCTGGACAAGGGATAACTTTAATTTTCAGTCAGACTGTGTGGCCAGAACTAACCATTACACAGAACTGTCATAAAGACTAACACAATATACTGCAAGACCCTGCTGTAGCGCAGAGACCTGGGACACTACAAAAAACAAGCACTAGAGCACATACACAACAGCACAGGTAAAACCCTACTGCTAATAAAACGAGATGCTCTGGAGCAGCTGCACGAGCTTAAGGTCACAATGCCCAACGCCAAGCGTGGACTAGAGGGGTATAAAGCCCCCCAGCTTTGGGCTGTGGAGCAGTGGAACCGTGTTCTCTGGAGTGATGGAGCTCAATCCTGAACTTCTGGGACGAGTCTGAGTCAGTCTAAGCGATCCAGAACTGGGGCCGGATTCACGAAAGTGTCTTAAGAAAGAAAACCTTCTTAAATGTGTTTTTTTTTACTTCATTCTTTTGAAAAAAGTTGTTATTCTTCAAACAACTTCTTAAGAACTTCTCAGGTTTTTTCTTATCTCCTTTCTTAAGAATAATAATAAGAACAAGTGCTATTCTTGAAAACATTACGTTCTTAAATGTGTTTTTAAGCTTAGAACAGCCTTAAACTTGTCTTAGTTTGTAAGAGTTGACCTAAATCAATTATCGGACGCTGCCTCTGCTGCTCCTCGTCCCTTATTTTCCGCCATCAACTCACAATCACAGGATTTGTTTCCTGTTGGCTGTTTTTCCACCATCACCTCTAGTTCTTGGTTGCTAATTTTTTAAATGCTTTGTTTGACGTTTTTCCTCCATTTTCTGAGCAGATTAAACTAAACTAAAAAAACTGTTAAAACTAATTCACAATCTCTCATGTTGTTTGCTGAAAGCTGTAAAATGCAACATAAAGTCCATATCGCTGCTGTCTGAACAAAACCTCTTACCTCCATTTTTGTCATTTTTCTGTTTTTGACAATCTGAAAGTGACTGTTCTTTAAATTGTGTGTAAATTTCATGATGAAGGAACCAAAATAAACAGCCCAAAATGACTTGGAAAAATGTCCGGTTCCATTGACTAACATTAAAAGTAAAGTATGTTTTTTCCTTCTCCTGTAAAGTTACCATTTTGGAGACAGAAGGTTTTGCGATAAGAAAACAACAGAAACTAATTAAGATTTTCTGAAGAGAATATTTGAGAACTTAAGTTTCTTTTACAGAACTGCATTTAAGAACATTCTTATGAACGTCTTAGCGTTTGTCTTAAGAACCTCTGCAAGTTTTTTCTTCAAGATTTCGTGAATCCGGCCCCTTATCATCCAATATCAGTACCTGACCTCACTAATGCTCAACCGAATCCTCACAGCAATGTTCCAAAATCTACAGTAAAGCCTTCCCAGAAGAGTAGAGGCTGTTACTGCAGCAAAGGGGGATAAACTCACTATTAATGCCCTTCATTTCAGAAGAATCGCTGGAGAAGCAGATGTCCACAAGTGCATCAGAGTTAAAATTAACAATAAACCCCTTCTTTGAGTGCTGTGACTCTATGCTAAAGGAATCTCTTACAAACCTGGCTTTGCTTGTTTCGATTGGACTGTCTTCTCCTATTATGACGAGCACAGTAAAGGTTAACCAGAAACCAGGTGTCATTAAAGGAAACTTACCACTGTGTAAAGTGTATCAAATAAGAATACACAATAAATAAATTAATTAAATAAAACTGAAAATCACCATCAGGCTGCGACACATATACTGTTATGCAAGTATTGCTGGTATAATCCATCACTACGCTGAATAACACGAAGATCTCGCCATCTGTGAAGCTAACTGTGAGGGACAGATTGACGCTGCTACAACCGAACAACACACTCGATGTATAAATCTTACTAAAAACTCTTTCCTTTAAAATGTCCCTGTTGTGGAGCCCCTTTCCCCCCACAGTCATGGTCCCATCCCAGAGAGCTGGTTGGGGTCTTCTTACTAGAGAACATGGATTTGGTTTCTGTGTTCAGACACCTACATGTTCGCTGTGATGGATCACGTCACTGCCCTCACTGAGCACCACAGTCATAATGAGAACATCCAAAAATAATAATAATACTAAAGTTGCACAGTAACAGATCAAATCTATAGCCTATCCCCTTAAAACAGATGGTTCTTCCAGTGTTCTTTAATAAAGGCAACGGCTCTATTTATTTCATGCTTAAATGGTGCTTCGTACTGATTAAATATGGTTCCATTGTTCTATATAGCACCCAAAAGGGTTCTACTATTGTATCAAGCTTGACATCATTAACAATAGCAGAACCTCTTTTGGTGCTACATGGAATGATTTTCAAGAAGATCCCATATAGAAGAACATGCAACACATTCTCTACTAATGCAAAGAACCATTTAAAATAAACATAACTATTCAATTTCCTAAAGAACCCTCGAAGAACCGTCTTCGTGTAGGGATGCACTGATACATGCACTACTTCTGCATTTTACTACACGCTATGCAAATAAATCTCTCTTCACAATCATCCAAGCAGATCTTACGTTAGTCTGTTTCTACACTGAAAAACAGTGTTTTGAATCTACATAATTTAAATGTGTATCATTTCCACGCAAATAAAACATATTACATCAACACTGGGCTTGAAAAACCGAAACACAGCCAGTCATTTCTTTGTGAAAACGAAGGCACATTTGAATCAAGTCATTCCAAAGCTGCATTTGTTTTTAGTATACATTTTCTAAACGTGTCTGACGAAAAATATTGGATATAAATAACTGATATCAGCCCAAAACACCTATTTCAGTGCATCCCCAATACAAGAGACTCGAATTGAGAAGCCTACACTTGACGATTTTGTGTTTAAAAAACATGAAGTGAACATTAAATCAACATTTAACGTAACTCAATCTATAAAACACTCCTGGAAAAAAAGTCTTAAAGGGTTAAACAGCCTGAATTTCTAGGGAAATCTCTCAGAAAACCGGGATAGTTGTTAGCTGATATGCTAATGCTACGACGCTAAACCCTAGCGTTCAAATCTGAACGATATTACTCGATAATAAAGATAAATTTCGCAAATAATTCACGAATTCCACAGCAAAACATCACATTAAGGTGTTTACTCACGGGAATCCGCCGCGAAAGTGTGTCTGCTCTCAATTTTCACGGTTCGGTCGCTAAAAAGCTAACTAGCATTATATGTAAACATCGCTACGAAGCCGAAGTTGGTTTCCTATTCGCCAGCTTTCTTGTTTGAATTTTCCCGTTCCACCTTAAACGGTGCAGCGGTTACGTTCAGGCACCTCAAGCACCAGAATGCAACTGCTGCACCATTTAAGGAGGAACGGGAGAATTCGGACAAGAGGGCTAGCGCGTCGCTAACCTTAGCAAAGCTTGGCCATTTTTTCCATTTGTTGAGGCAATTAAGCACGATTTATATCCAAGTAAGACTCCTGGAAAAGAATAAATAACAGACGAGGATGTTAAAGTTAGTTAAAAAGTGAAATGACAACAAGTAACGGTCGGTTTTAACCAAGTAACGCGAGCCTGTAACGTTAAAGCTGAGCACAGCTAGCAGGAATTCAAAAAAACGGGACGGGACCTTCTTTAGTCGCGGGTAAAAACACATAGATTTACGTTGTTCAGTTCTACCTGCCGATAATGTGGACGTTAGAAGTGTAAAATAGGCCCAGGCACTAGAAAGAGGTCTGTTATTTTTCCTGCCTCTCGGTTTTTGAGGTGCATAAAGAAGAGGAGATTAAAAATGGCTGCAGCGCCAGAACAAAGCGACGGTGAAGCCGAAGGGGGGGCAGCGGAGCTTCAGATTAAAAATAAAAGCGGATTTTTCACACGAACGGGCGTAATAACTCACCGATTAGACTGGTTACCTTTCGTGCGTGTCAGATGTTCCGAAATTTGTCCACCTGCTTGTGAAATCTGAAAGGATGGAAGAAGATTCTCCGGCCGATTCTGTGTTTTTTTTAAATCTGTTTTGCCGTTTACTTGCGTTGCCACACGGCCTGCTGTCGGATATGACGTGTGTGTCAAACAGCGACCTCTAGAGCCGAGTTCAAATATTACAGACACAAGAGTGAAATGACCTCTGAAGTGGGTTTAATAACAACAACAACAACAATAATAATAATAATAATAATAATTATTATTATTATTATAATTATAATACATCTGAGTCTCTACAATCAACTATTTCACACTAATCCACTCTGAATGACTCTGTGTACATCTCAAGATCAAATTAGGCAGAAATTTTGAAAATTTGGTGGAATTCCCCTTTAAGTATTAATAATAATAATAATAATAATAATTATTATTATTTTATTAGGTTGTAGCCTAACCCAGCAGTCATTGGGTGGAAGGCAGGATACACCCTGGACAGGCCTGATGTGAGTCGATGTTTTAGAGAAACTTATCAGGTCAGAGTTGTTCCCAGTGGTGGTGATAGGAACCAGACGTCCACCTTTAAAAGCTTTGTTACAAATACACTGCCCACTGCCTGAGATGTTTTTTTTTTTTTATTATGGTTGGTTTTGAGATGAGATTTAAGCCTAAAAATGCATTTTTAAAAATCTGTTCATGGTGTAGGGGTACATCCCTGCTGAAAAAGGACCAAAAGATTTTGCTTTCTAATGGGAATTGGCTTACTAGTGTCCTACAGAGACCACTAGTTTCTTGTAGAACACCTTTAAATCCCATTAGGAAACCATTAAATGCATTTAGAGTCAGCCATTAGTCACCTGTTAAACCATTAGGATCCTTTACATTGTGATATGAACCCATTCAAAAAAAGCCAAAACACATTACAAAACCATCAGGAAGGTTTTTTCAGTAGGGATGCAGGGCCTGTGAGGCAAAATAGTTCCTAAAGAAAATATATTTTTTCAGATTTTCCGCTATTTTACATCATCAACATCACACATAAAACACTCTGAAAACACACATAGGTTCACTGGTGGTTTTGGGTAGTAAATAAAATGGCTATACTTTTGCTGGATACATTGCAACCATCACTGTAAAGAAATCTGAGTCTCTACAATCATCTATTTGACACTAATCCACTCTGAATGACTCTGAATGGTACATCTCAAAGATCAAATTAGGCAGACATTTTGAAAAATTGGTGGAACTCCCCTTTAAGTATTAATTTGGAAAATTTATATACAAACCACATTTAAGACTAAGATTCAATTTTATTGTCACTGCTCAGAGTACAAGTACGCAGGCAATGAAATGAAAATATGTCAGTGGATTATCCAACAGATTAAAAACAACGTTCCTCGATGAGCATTTGGAAGGACTTTAGGTATTTCACTCTCTACAGTGCATAATCTCTTCACACACATCATCTAAACCGCTTATCCTTCTGGGTTGCGGTGGGGTGCTGGAGCCTATCCCAGCTGTCATTGGGCGGAAGGCAGGATACACCCTGGACAGGTCGCCAGTCCATCACAGGGCAGACGGACAGACAGACAGACACATTCACACACACACACACTCACACCTAGGGGCAATTCAGCACGTCCAATTGGCCTGACTGCATGTTTTTGGACTGTGGGGCATAATCTCTTCAGATTCAGGGAATTAAAAACTGCATTAAAACCGGCATGTTTCTGTAAAGGATATCACCTCATGGGCTTAGGAAAACTTTAGCAAACTGTTGTCAGTAAACGCCGTCCGTCACTGCTTCCACAAACACGAGCTAAGACTGTACTATACACAGTGGCAGTCATACATCAACAACATCCAGAAACGCTGCCTGTTGCTGTGGGCTCCAACTCATGTGAAATGAACTGACGCAGAGTGGAAACATGTACTGTGGTCTAAAGAGTCAACATTCAGACTGTTTTGGGAAATAATGGACCTTGTGTTCTCTGGGCCAAAGACGAAAAGGACCATCTAAGCTGTGTCCCAATTCAAGGGCTGCATCCTTCGTAGACCGTGTCCTTCGAAGGCTGTGTAGACACGTGAAGCCTGAACTGAAATAAGACAGTCTACTTCTACGACGGATTTCCTGTTTGCGTCACAGCACAGCTGTTCCCGCTCTTACAGGTGCGTCATGAAACGCTGCTCCTGTCAAGTTATTTTAAAGTTCTTTAAAGACGGAGTCAAAAACTTTGATTTTAAAGTTCTCTTCTCTCCGCCTGCTGCTTGTTTCCCAAAATGAAACGAAACGTTAGCCTAAGTTTTGCTTCAGACAACATTGGCTTTTTTTAACATTTGTATCTTTAGCTATTCGACTCAGTTTAAACCCAAATGGAGCCTTCGAAGGATGCAGCCCCTGAATTGCGATGCAGCTCTAGAGTGTTACCAGCATAAAGTTCAAAATCCAGCATCTGTCCTGTTATGGGGGATAAATATTGGGTAACTTGCTCATTTGTGAAGGCACCGTTAACATTGAAGAATATTTGTACATTCCGGAGCAACATGTGCTTTTAGATTCCTTCTAGATGACCTCACTCCTTATTTCGACATGATAATGCAAAGCCACATTTTGCATGGCTGTGTAATCAGAGAGTGTTGGTGCTAGACTGACCCACCTGTCTCCCATTGCAAATGTGGCACACATAAAGTTTAAGGCAGGCATCAAATATGGAATGAACACATATTTATTAAAGAAATAAAGAAAGAAAGAAAGAAAGAAAGGTCATAAGCTAAAACATCAAATATCAGATTTTGGTACATTTTTGAATACAGGTCAAGTAGAATTCACCATTTCACTGCTTTCTGCTTTTATTAGCATTTCACATACTGTCCCAGCTTTTTGGAACTGAGATGAGTAGATGATACCAACAACCACCTGGAAGACCTGGTATTGTCCCCATCAAATAAACAGCACTTAAAGCTTTCATCTTTGAGAGAGAGGAGAAAATCAAGCTGCTTCAGATCTGAAAACATCCACAGGTGTTTCTGTCCATCCTTCCGCTGTGAGAAGACGACTCAGCGCTATGGCTCTGAAAGGATGTGTAGCTGTCAAGAAGAACCTCGCTAAGAAAAGGAGACAGACACATCAAACAAAGAAGCTGAACAGTGGACTACAGTTCATCGCGAGTTTTTGACAGAAAAAAGCTTTTAATAAAGAAGATCAAGCCTTCACAGTGCTTTGTTCCTTACCCTGCATTTAGATGTGTTAGCCTGAGTGTTCCACTAGGTGGCGCCAAAGTTCAGCTGCAGCCTCTCAGGCTAAAGCACACTCTGGAACAGCCTCAGCAGATGTTTACATGCGTGCTTTATGGTCCAGACAAAAACATTCCAAACTGTGGCTGAAAACGAACACAAAGTCAGCTTGTCTAACAACTTTATCAGAAACATCCCTCTTCTAATTCCACTTTGCTGCAGTGTAGGTGTGTTTCTAATAAAGTGGCCAGTGAGTGGAAGCACAAGGTAGGTGTTTCTAATAAAGCGGCCAGTGAGTGGAAGCACAAGGTTGATGTTTCTAATAAAGTGGCCAGTGAGTGGAAGCACAAGGTAGGTGTTTCTAATAAAGTGACCAGTGAATGGATGAGCAAGGGAGGTGTTTCTAATAAATTGGCCAGTGCATGGAAGCACAAGGTAGATGTTTCCAATAAAGTGGCCAGTGAGTGGAAGTACAAGGTAGGTGTTTCCGATAAAGTGGCCAGTGAGTGGAAGTACAATGTTGATGTTTCTAACAAAGTGGCCAGTGCGTGGAAGCACAAGGTAGATGTTTCTAATAAAGTGGCCAGTGAGTGGAAGCACAAGGTAGATGTTTCTAATAAAGTGGCCAGTGAGTGGAAGCACAAGGTAGGTGTTTCTAATAAAGTGGCCAGTGCGCGGAAGCACAAGGTAGATGTTTCTAATAAAGTGGCCAGTGAGTGGAAGCACAAGGTAGATGTTTCTAATAAAGTGGCCAGTGAGTGGAAGCACAAGGTAGGTGTTTCCGAAAAAGTGGCCAGTGAGTGGAAGCACAAGGTTGATGTTTCTAATAAAGTGGCCAGTGAGTGGAAGTACAAGGTAGATGTTTCTAATAAAGTGGCCAGTGAGTGGAAGCACAAGGTAGGTGTTTCCGATAAAGTGGCCAGTGAGTGGAAGCACAATGTTGATGTTTCTAATAAAGTGGCCAGTGAGTGGAAGTACAAGGTAGGTGTTTCCGATAAAGCGGCCAGTGAGTGGAAGCACAATGTTGATGTTTCTAATAAAGTGGCCAGTGAGTGGAAGCACAAGGTAGGTGTTTCTGATAAAGTGGCCAGTGAGTGGAAGCACAAGGTAGGTGTTTCCGAAAAAGCGGCCAGTGAGTGGAAGCACAATGTTGATGTTTCTAATACAGTGGCCAGTGAGTGGAAGTACAAGGTAGGTGTTTCCAATAAAGTGGCCAGTGAGTGGAAGCACAAGGTAGGTGTTTCTGATAAAGTGGCCAGTGAGTGGAAGCACAAAGTAGGTGTTTCTAATAAAACGACCACTGAGTTGTAAGCTGGGAGTTAGAACATGCAAAGCATGAATCTCTAATGTCCTGTCTGATGCAAGTGTTTAGGCCATCTTTTCATTGGCCCGATGTTGGAGACAGAAGCAGTATCATTTGTGCTGCCGTCCAGCTGAGTTTCCCTTCTTTCTCCTTCTGAAACAGTCTGCCCTGAAGCCCCCAGGGGCCACTCATCTGTCCATCCGCTTCACTTCACCTCCTCTCTATCATTCCATTCACAGAGGATCTGCAGCAGACAGGCTGAAGTGGACAATCCTGAGAGCATTTTTCACCCCTGCGTTTTATCAGTGTGGCTGAAGTTCAGGTTTAGTGATCAGCTCTGTGCTAATGTGCTAATGTATAAGAGTATATTTTAAAAATGATTCTGACAGTTTTCTCTTCTAAAATATCATTAAAAGCACATATTGAAACTGTATTTGGCCCAAAAGCGGAAAAGGCTTGAGTGCTGATATCACAAGGGGAGAAAATGGGTGTGGCCTTTGGTTTTATTCCCAAACTAGTGATGTCACTAATACTATCACTAATATTTACGTGTGTGACGCTTTTTTCGTCTAAATAAGCCTAATCAGTCTTTAATATGGTAAACCACTGCAAACCGACAAGAAAAACAATCAACTGCATTTGCAAAAAAATAAAGCTAGGTGTCCATTCACAGCACGTCACTGCATAGAGCTCAGAGCAGGAATTAAATACTGATTTTTTTTAATTCCATGCAAACTGATGCAGTGTAGATGATTCTTTCTGTTATTTTCAGGCATCAGGAATAAATTACCATGGATTAGAGCTTTTGATTTACAATATTTATATTTTATCAGAGAAATTTTCTATTAACAAATAATTAGCATATTGTCACACACTGGCCACTTTATTGGAAACACCTACTTTGTGTTTCCACTCACTGGCCGCTTTATTAGAAACACCTACTTTGTGTTTTCACTCACTGACCACTTTATTAGAAACACCGACCTTGTGTGTGTGTGTGTGTATATATATATATATATATATATATATATATATATATATATTTATGTAATAAACTCTTCACTGAGTGTCAGAAACGTGATGACAGAGTGGGCAGATGATTAGCAGCTGTAATGTGTTTGTTTACCACACTGAGTTTGGCGAGTGACAGTCTTTGTGTTTAATTCTGCTGAATGCTCTGTGGAAGAACAGAGTCGACTGGCCTGTCAGAGCTGTAGATGTGGCCCAGTACAGATTAAACCATACGTGTCACAGGCAGCAGCGTGGTCAGCCCTGATACTCTAATCTGACCTACAACAAGCGGACAGTTTATCTACAGTATGCATGTGTTTGTGTTGGTAATTCCAGCTGAGGCAAACAAACCCAGCCTAACTCAGCTTCATCGCACCACAGTCAGGCTTACAGGATCCGCTCAGACAGGGCTGAGCTATAAATGGGCATATAGACCACAAGCTGTACACAAGTCAACACTGTCAAATTCAGCTGCTGACATGCTTTTTAAAAAAGCTTTATCATAACTTAAAAACACGCAGCTCTCTACATTGTGTGAATGTTTCATGATAAATGAACCAGTAGAAATGCTTTCTCTCTCCTCTGTAAACAGGCCATCCTGGAGACCTTCTGACAGCAGCAAAATATAATTTAATCATCACAATTGACCAATTAAATCTACCTAAACTGCAGGCCTGTTATTCAATTATGAACCGCAGGATGTAACTTTCAATAACTACTATTCCAGCTGCAGCTTTGAAAACAATTCAGAATCATATTAAAATAATTGAGTTGTGGTCAAATTAGAGATTTTATGATTCAATGCATTATTTCCCAAAGGACCATAACTGAGCCACCATAAATTATCCACTGTCTACTATGACTTATTCATTATTATCCATTATTCAGTTACTACTACAAATATTTTAGTAGCCACTATGAACTATTCACTAACCATTATCAATTATTCAGTAACCACTATGAATTATTCAGCAACTACTATAAATTTTTCAGTACCTACTACAACTTTTGTAGGAAAAACTGCAAATTATTCAGTAACTACTACAAATTATTCAGTATCTATTATGAATTATTCAGAATCAACTATAAATTATTCGGAATCTACTATGAATTATTCAGGATCTCCAATGAATTATTCAGTATCTACTATAAATGATTCAGTACCTACTATGAATTATACAGTAACCACTATGAATTATTTAGTAACTACTATGAATTATTCAGTATCAAAATAACAAACTGCACTGTTTTAGTGTTGTTCAAAAGTAATATGCCTTTAAGATGTGATGTTTCAGTTGAAAACAAGACTATTTGAAATATACTGAAAAAACGCTGAACAAAATTTTAATTGAACACTTTAAAAGCAGATCACTGCTTTATAAACACACTGAATGTGGAGCAGCAATAGAAACACAGCAGGACCGGAAACGAACAGCATTAAAAACAAAGTGTAAAAGCAAGAAAAAGAGATTATTTACAAGAAAAGTAATAAACAAAAATCATAAACACTTTTGCAGAATCCCCATTCGAAAATACACCATCACTGCACTTCAAACATTTCTGTTTAGTGATTCAGAGTGGTTTGGTGTGAAATGGTTCAGATTTCTTTATAGTGGTGGTGATAGGAACCAGGGGTCACCATGTCTACAACACAAATATAGACATTTTATTCACTATCCAAAACCAGCAGTGAACCTACACGAGTCTTCTGAGCTTTATAAGGACAGCAGCTAAATACAGTAAATAGAATAAGTGGTACATTAAAACATGCATGTTTACAAATAAAAGGGTCATGCAGATTCACACACTACAGTACTGTGGGCAGCCTAAACAGGCATTAAGACAGAAGTTATTCATTTTTCAGGAGATATGTCTGAAGAGATTAGTTATTAGTTGTAAGATAATCCACTTGCACAAGTAAGAAGAAAATCAAAAGAAAATATTTGAGTTTCTTAAGCTGGAGTTCAAAAAATGATTAAAAGCTACAGAGGAAATGTGGCTCCTAACAACCACCTGGAAGACCTGGTAGACACTAAAACTGCCCCCATCAGATAAACAGCACTTAAAGCTTTCATCTTTGAGAGAGAGGAGAAAGTCAAGCTGCTTCAGATCTGAAAACATCCACAGGTGTTTCTGTCCATCCTTCCACTGAGAGAAGACGACTCAGCGCTGTGGGTCTGAAAGGATGTGTAGCTGTCAAGAAGAACCTCACTGAGAAAAGGAGACGGACACATCAAACAAAGAAGCTGAACAATGGACTGACCACCCCAGAGTCCAGACCTCAACATCACTCAATGTGTTTGATTACTTCAGAAAATGATCAACCAACTTCTAAGACTGAACTTTGGAGGTGTGTCTGCAGATTTCTTAGAGAAACTGAAAGTGAGCCTCCTGAAAAGAATGGAAGTTGTAATAAAGGTAAAGAGTGACACACTGAAACACTCAAACATCTGATATTAGATTTAGTCGTTGCAGCTTCTGTGTGTTTCTGTTAAATATGTTTATATTTTAATGCTGAAAATGAATAACTTCACTTAATGTCCATTTGACTGGAAATAAATAAAACAAATGAAGGGTCTCTGACTTTTGCACAGCACTGTAAATAGAAACTGTTGCATAGTTCGAGTGACATTCAGAGTGTTAAAGCTGAGAGTGGTGTACAGATGTGTGTGTGTGCTGTAGCATCATCAGGTCCAGAAATCTTTATCATATATAATACACTGTACATCACCTATATTTGGCAAGAAGACATGTTTATACAATATCAGCAGCTCTGAGGAATCAAATCTAAAAAGATTCAACTGCATAAATAGAAACGAAACAGTTCACATTATCATTAAGCTTCTTAGCTTCACTAAACAAGAGAAGGAAATTGGGCCGAAAGACACTCGAAAAATTTACACACTACACAAAGTCACCTGTTGACTACAGCATACATCAAAACCAGGAGTGGCCACAAAGTCTTCTCTAGCCATCTTCCACTATAAGGTCGTATGCAGACGTTTGAACATCCCCAGGCAAATTACGTTTTAAAAATAAAACATAACATGTGAAAATGTTTTATGCTTAATTTTCCCCCAATATCAGTAAATAAACAGTAACTGTGTATTAAAATGTGCAGAAATGTGTTCCCTGTAATAGATGTCTTAACAATGTTTACATGTGGAAAATCAAAAAACATGGAATTTGACCAGGGGCGCCTAAACTTTTGAATACACCTGCGTATATGGTACTGTTCAAAAGCTTGGAATCAGTGTTTTCAATAACATAAAACCAATTTAGTTTCAGATAAATGTATAAAATCATTCTAATAGGTTCGTCCTGTGCAGCTTCACAGCTTCAGATCATCAGTAGAAGCTGTAAGTAAAAGTGTAGAAATGTTAGATGTGTCTAGAATGAAGAACCGATCTGTAGAAGATACTAATATTGAACATGAAAGCTGTAGAACATGAAGAATTAAGTAATGATAAAATTAATATCCAGAATTCATCATATACCTAAAGTGGTGGACAACAAAAACTATGTAAATAGATGATTACAGTATATATTCACAACTGAGTAACTTATCATTCACATATTTCTTGAAATACCGAATGAAACTAATTTTTACAAATACCTTTTGCAATGTTTTTCCCCAATATTTCAAATATTTTAGAAAAACAATGCAACACTGCACTCTTGCAAAGTTCTTTAAGTTGTTACATTATAAATAATATACTATAATAATATAAGTTACCTGCCTCATCATGTCTTTTAAACTTTTTGAGGCATTTTGGGACCTCAAATTCTGAAAATGTTAATATTTCATTCTGGATATTAATTTTGTTCAAACTTCATTCTGGATATTATGTTATTAGAACTTCGTTCTGTATAATAATTTTTTTAGAACTTTGTTCTTGATATTACTTTATTAGAACTTTATTCTGAATATTAATTTTATTACAATTTCTTTCTGGATATTATTAGTTAGAACTTCATTCTAGAGGTTAATTTTATTCTAGCTTCATTCTGAATGTTGGTTTTATTAAAACATCATTCTAGATATTTTATTAGAACTTCATTCTGGATGTTAATTTTATTAGAATTTCATTCTGGATGTTAATTTTGTTAGAATGTCATTCTAGATTTTAATTTTATTAGAACTTCATTCTGGATAATATTTTATTAGAACTTCATTCTGGACATTACATTTTATTATAACTTAATTTTGCATATTAATTTTATTAGTACTTCATTCTTTATTTTTTTTCTTAGAACTTCATTCTGGAGGTTAATTTTCTTAAAACTGCAAGCTGGATTTTAATCTTGCTGTGTTAGTCATTCTCGACAAATCAAATGTCTTCAAATTGAAGGTAAGATATTTAAATCACTGATTGCATACTTTTGAACACTAGTGAACATAATAATAATAATAATAATAATAATAAGAATAATAATGATAATAATAATAGCAATAATAACAACAATAATGTGTTTCACATATAATCATATGTGAAAATTGTATATATTTCAATACAAACAAAACCTTCTTGTGATTCTTCTTTCTGAGCCGAAGCGTACCGTTCCGCAGTTCTGCGGTGCTGTGAGAACGTCTCTGTTTCGGCTCTACAGAGTTCTGTTTTAGGGGAACGGGCTCCAGCTGAGCGTTCCTATGGAGATGAGCGTTTGGCAGGCGTTAGACGAGAGCCACACCGTCTCCACCAGGCTGAAGTGCAGTAAACCCAGCGCGAAGCCGCAGGCCATGTCCGTGACGTGGTGTCGGCCCAGAAGAACCCGGGACAGCCCCACCAGGAAGGCCCAGACCACCAGCAGGATCCGCAGCGGCACCGCCAGCACCAGGTGAGACAGCAGGAACTTGGACACCATCGCCGCCCTGCTGGCGTGAGCCGCCGGGAACGAGTACACGTCCATCGCCACGTAGTCCAGGAAGCCCGGGGTCATTTCCCATGGTCCTTTACGCCTGACCAGTTTCTGGACTCCAGCCACAGTCAGGATGTCGAGAATGAGCGCTGAAAGGAGAACAAATTAAGGCTTTCTGTTATGAAATAATATGACGGAATGTTTAATTATGAGTAGGGCTTTGCACAGAAGTTCAGCATTTTTATGATAACGATTACTGAATTACTTCAGTACTGCTGAGTACTGACAAATACTTCATTCCAAACCAAATTTCAGTACCACAGTAGTCAGTGAGCCAATAAGAATTCTTCTTTCAAAATCTACACTGCTAATAATTTGGGCTGTCTAAATCACATGCTATTTACATGGGAATTCCAACCAAATTTTCAAAATTTGGTCCCACTTTATATTAAGTGTCCCTAATAACTGTGTAGTTATGTGTGAACAATATATGCAACAGCAGCGTAACTACTGATGATTTAGTCACTGTTACAGATGGATTGCAGAAGTACAGCTTATGTAATTACACATGTGTATTAAATTTGGTTTTGTAATTACATGAGTGTATCTTCTTGATACATTACAGATCAGAAGTATTTTCCAGCAGTAAAATGAAATATGTTTTACATAACATGAAGTTGATACACATGTGTAATTACAAAGGTTCTACTTCTGTAATCCATCAGTAACACTGATTAAGTCATCAGTAGTTTTATTGTTCATTTAATTTTATGGTTACAAATATGCTGCCTATCTGAGACATTATTTTACAACAGATTTGAGAAGGTTTTGGCTTTTTTTGTGAGTTCAGACCATGCTTTCAACGTGGTGGTGGTAGTATGAGGAAAGACTGTTGGAGAAGTGGGGGGGGGACTTGGGCTGGAGTTCCTGGCAGCTTATGCCTGTATCTAAAAGGCCAGACCCCCCCTCATAGCTATAGTAGGACAGGTGTAGGACTGAGGAACAGGGAGGAGATGGGGTGGAGGTGGGAACTGCAAACACTTCGTCACAGGAACGGAAGGTGAGGATGTGAATTTATAGGACGTTAGATTGGAAGAAGGATTGGAAGAAGGACTTTAAAGAAAGTCTCTACAATCAACCAATTCACACTAAACCACTCTGATTGACTTTAATTAATCAAAAATTATGGAGAATTTTAGAAAATGTGGTGGACTTCCCCTTTAAAAGCAGTGTTGTAATTTTAGTATATTTACCCAGCAGCAGATTGACCAGGACTTCCTGTCCAGCTAGAGTGTTGCTCCTGGTGAGACACACCAGTGTGCCACAAATCCATGTGATTCCATGTCCGGTGAGCGCGAGCAGTGTGAAAACGGAGCGGACGCTGCCCCAGGACGATGAGGTGTGGACACAAACTCCGAGCCGCTTGGATAAATGTATATCGATGGCCAGGAGAGAGTTCATGGCGATGCCTTTGAAGGAAGGATTGAGCTGCATGCAGTCTTCTTCGGGCAGCCTCGGCGGTTCTTTTCGCTCTTTGGCACCTTCGCCAGGTTCTTGCTGGTGGTCACTCTGTGGGTTTTGATGGTACTTGCCTGGGCCGGCTCTCCTGGATGCCCCCCGGTTGTTGTCGTTGCTGCTGTTTCGCAGGGGCTGATGAAGGGATAAAAACTCCAGCCTTCCAAGGACATTTCCACGGTCTCTGGCTCTCGCTCGGCTTTGATTGTATGGCATTTCGAATATCTATAACACTATGTTTTTTGTGTCTGTAAGACGGATGGGGTTCTCCAATACAAACCAGTGGCGCAAGTGGCTCCTATGTAGAGTGGCAGGTCTAAGTGCGAATGGGGGCTGCAGTTTGTCTTGAAAAAGCACCGTCAGGCGGCCTATATTTAGCCTTGTAAGAATGTGCACACAATTGTGACCGGGGTGCAGGGCAGGCTATCCTATTAAAGACAGAAACAAGGACAGAAAATCAAGCCAAGTCACATCAACGCTACACTGTACGAAATGTAAATTTGTCCTTAAACCTAAAATATTTCTTCATCTGCTAACAGGATGTTTATCTGGCTTAACCCAAGTCAAATAAGTACAGTGAAGTCTTCATCCATCCAAATCAATCCAAAACAGTTTGTCTTTTAGAGTGGAATTCCCAAATTTCTGCATAATTCAGTGTTTGAGATGTAAACAGAGTGATTCAGAGTGGTTTGGTGTGAAATGGTTCAGATTTCTTTACAGTGGTGGTGATAGGAACCAGGGGTCACCATGTCTACAACACAAATATAGACATTTTATTTACTATCCAAAACCAGCACTGAACCTACATGAGTCTTCTGAGATTTACACTGGATGTTGATGATAATAAAATAGTGAAAAAACTGAAAAAAAAATTTTTTTTCGCTGCATCACAACGTCCTGCATGTACCCCTCCATCATTAATTGTATTTTAAAAACACATCGTGGACCAAAACTACTGTACAGCAATGTTTTAAGAATCAGAATCAGGCAGTGTATCCAGAACCATTTCATGTAAGAACTTTCTGTGAGGGAGCTTTCAGAGGTGGACGTCTGGTTCCTATCACCACCACTGTGAATAATAAAATCCTGACCCGGTGAGTTTCTCTAGAACGGAGCATTTCACACCAAACCACTCTGAACGACTCTGTTTACATCTTAGCTAATTAACTGAGCTGAATTTCTGAAAAAGTGGACTTCCCCTTTAAGACCGTTCACGGTGTAAACAGACTGTATTGTTATGAAAGGCGGCGTTAGGCCGACAGTGACAACACACGGTCAGCGCGCGCGGATTTAGGAGCATGAATGGTTTAAATAGGTTCACTAAACACCTAAAATCTATTGAAGTGATGAGTGAAAGGAGCCCCACCGTGTCTTCTGACCATGCCTTCCTCTGTCTGTCCGTTCTCCCTCGTGCAGCTGCGGGTTCTCTCCGCGCTGTTGGCTGTTTCTTCCATTTAAGCCGTGATTTTCAGAAGCATCGCGCTGTCAGTCCGGAGCCGCAAGTCTGTACGAACGGAAACACCGGGCTGGTTTTCTGGGTTTAAACGGCCTCTAACGGAGCTCAATCTCTGCTGCTGTCTCCTCTGAGCCTGCGATTCCGGTGTGCGCGTGCGCGTTCGGGAGCGCTGGAAAACGTCCAGCACGTGCAATTATAGATCTACGGAGCCCCTACGGTGACATGGTGATTATATTTAATAAGGCGTGGTAACGAATTACTATATTGAGGCCACAAATTGACTTTCTCATAACACATGGCTTCAATATAGTAATTTGTAGCCTCAATATAGTAATTTATAGCCCCAATGTATTAAATCGTGGCCTTAATATACTAATTTGTGGTCTCAACTTATCAAATCGTGGCCTCAATATAGTAACTGTGGCCTCAAAATATTACATCGTGTCCTCAATACAGTAATTTGTGACCGCAATATATTAAGTCGTGGCCTCAATGTGCTAATTTGTGGCCTAAATGTATTAAATCGTGGCTTCAGTGTAGTAATTCGTGCCCTCAATATAGTAGTAGTGCCCTTAGTATAGTGATTTGAGTGGTACATTAATTTGTGGCCACATCTTGTTAAAATAGTCACAATGTCACCATAAATCTCGTTCTGTATTCAGTTTGCTATTTTTTTTCCTGTCTCATTATTTCTGATTGATGTTTGGACTCCATGTTTATTTACGTATTTATGTGTTTATTTCTTTATTTATGTATTCATTCAATAAAATTACAGTGAAATTAAGGGAAAAGTTCATAAAAGTTCAATTCAATGTACATAAAAGTGAAAAAGAGAGATTGTTACAGGCATAAAATATTTAATTTATATAATAAAAACAATATGTAAAGATGCAAGACAAATAAAACAAATGAGATGCAGTTAAATTAAAAGATATTTCAGTAAGAATGTTACTGTTTTGTTCATTTTCTTCATAAATGTAACACGTTTAAGGACTTTTTTTTAAAATCGTAGATTACATTTTTGTATATTTACAATACGATATTTACTTAAAGAATACTGCCATTTTTAATAATCAGATATGTGGCTCCAAATTACTTTTACAAATAATAATAATAATAATAATAATAATGATAATAATAGTAAAAGCAGAACAAAAACACGCCGACGTTTTTGATTAAAAGAAAAATCCATCATCTCCCTCACAAAGCCTTCAACACGTCACCACCAGTGTGGTGTTACATTCACATTCACACGTAACGGCTCATAACAGCGCATGCGTACTGTTCACTTTCCGGACATGCAGGAAACATTCAGCTGCAGAATCAGCCCGTTTTGAATGGACTGTCTTGGTGACATCACAAAACCCAACACATCGTCCTATTCGGCCTTCAGCAGGTCAGGCTGAAGTTATACGGGGTGTTTCAGCCCCACTTCCTGAATGATGTGCAGTACCGGGCAGCCAATCAGAACAGAGGAAATTTACATATGCAACAGAAACCGCCTGGTTAATTCTGAGGGAGGTCATTAAAGAATTAATAATGTCAATTAATTAATGTCACACAAGTGCCAGGCGCACCGCGGGAGGAAAAAAGTAAAAGATTTTTTTACATGACCTGTTTTACTTATTTTTTTATTATTATTTTCACAAATATTTATTTATTTATGATAAAAACTCTGTAAGCTCAACGGTACATTCTTAAAAAAGATGGTTCTTCAAGGGTTCTTCTTCTATTTAGAACCATGGGTTTTATCCAGAACCATTTCATGATTAAATGGTTCTTTGCATGCTAAAATAGTTCTTCAGACTGTTGTATGTGGTTCTATATAGAGGTTTTTTGAAAATGGTTCCGCTATTGAACACAAGCTTGACATCGTAACAGTCCCAGAACCCTTTTTTGGTGCTATACAGAACCATTTTTCGAAAACAACACGTACTCCATCAGTCTGAAGAACCATTTCACGGTGCAAAGAACCATTTAAGCGTGCACATGGTTCTTTGAGTGCTCATGGCTCTATATCTATTGTCTTTACTAAGGAATCCACCTTTTTGAGAGTGTAGTTAGTGTAGCAGGGTTGAAAAACTACATTACCCACAATGCTGCAGTAAACAGAGCGGAAGTGTCGTGCAGTGCTGTTTAAAATAAAGGGGCCAGAGCTCCAGCATTAGAGACACAGAGCTGGAGGACGAGGAGCCTGATGGGGCTGATCCGGCACGGGGTGCCAAGACTTTTTTCACCGCGAGGCGCGGAGGAAGGTCGTCTCTGTGACGGACAGACGCGCCCGGGGCCGGTCGGTGTTTGCAGTGCTGTGATGTTACTGGTTTTCTCGACCGCAGAAAGTTGACCTGGTTGCCTTTGGGATGCTGCAGCAGCGCCTTTGGAGCGAGGACACTTTTTAGATTCCCGCACAGGAAAGAAGAACAACACCGAATAACACCTGCACGTTTTCTGCGTTATTTCTTTCATGTGTTTCCAAAGGGGCGCGTGCAAAATATTCAGTGTTTATCCTCCGGCTGAGTCTCCTGCGCGCGCGAGAGAGAGTGACAGTGCGCAGGAACGCACAGGCTGATATGACGCTCACTGTCAGCGAGGACGAGCACGAGCGCTTCTAGTCCTGCAACGGGCACCGTTATACTTGGCCGTGTGAGTTTGTGCACGCGCGTGCTTTACGCTCCCTCGTGCAAGTCTGTCTTTTATTTCATGCGTAAAGGAGGAAAAGCCCCAGATACGAACGCAGAGGCGGCGCAGTCGCTCCACGGTGCGGTTTCTTTTTCATGCATTCTGGATCCGACAGGAGTTTTTATGAGCGAGCATTCTGGATATTTATGATGATAATGATGATGAAGCTCATGATCATGAATTGAACGTCATAAGGGCGCGTGCGAGCGGACTGGAGATGCGGTGACAACGGGAGAAGGAGGAGAAGAAAGAAAAGTGGAGAGAGGGAAGTGAGGAGGCAGAGAGAGAGAGGGAGAGAGAGAGAGAGAGAGAGAGAGAGAGAGAGATTGAGGGGGTTGAGGGGGAAAGGAAGAGAGGAAGACAGAATGAAAGAGTAAAAGACAGTGAAAGAGAGATAAAAAAAAGAGAAAAAGAAGGGAGAACGAGCGAGAGAGAGGAAAGGAAGATCAAGAGAGAGTAAGAGTGGAAGAGAGAGACAGAGAGAAAGAAAAGAGAGAGAGAGAGTTGAGGGGAAAAGGAAGAGAGATAGTGAGAGAGGGAGAGTAAAACAGAGAGAGAGAGAAAGTAAAGAGTGGAAGAGAGACAGTGAGAGGAAAGAGGAAGAGAGAGAGAGAAAGAGCGATGGAGCCCGCAACCGGACGCACGTGCGCGGAGAAGCTACGCTACTGAAACTCAATCCCAGTCAGAAGAAAAGAAAGAAGGAAAGAAAGAGAGAAGGACGGAGTGCGGGATGGAGTCTCTCTCTTTCCCTCTGTGTAGCCGCGCGCTCTGAGAGGAGCCCTGGTGCTCGTGCTGCTGCTGCTGCTGCAGGTGTTGCTGCTGCGCGCGATGGGTTGCGTGCAGAGCCTGGGCCGCTGTAAGCCCAAAGGGTTCCGTGAGGGCGTGTGCGTGCTGGATCTGAGCGCGTGCATCGACCCGGACCCCACGAGCGTGGACGAGTCCTCCTCCGTGGTGCTGCGCTACCGGACCCCGCACTTCCGTGCCAGCGCGCGCGTCTGCGTGCCGCCCGTGGCCGCCAAAGAGACGTGGACGGTGGGCTGGATCCAAGCGTGCAACCACATGGAGTTCTACAACAAATACGGAGCCAAAGGGATGTGAGTAAGCCCGGGGGAGGGGGTGCAGAGGGGCTTTAAAGGGGGGGGGTGGTGATGGTGATGATGAAGTGATGATGATGAAGACTAAGAATGCTGATGAGGGTGATTTTGATGTGAATCAGAATCATACATTATTACACATAATTATAGTGATTGTAGTGATCATAGTGATGAGGGTGGTGATGCTGAAGTCATGATGAAGACTGTAATGATGAAGATGTTGATGAGGGTGATTTTGATCTGAATCAGAACTATATTCACTAAAATTATACATTATAACACAGTTATAGTGATTGTAGGGATCACAGTGCTGATGATGATGGTGATGATGAAGTCATGATGAAGACTGTAATGATTAAGATGTTGATGAGGATGAATTTGGTCTGAATCAGAAGCTTTTCACTGTGTACATTAACATGTGTTAGAAATTTGACTCTGGCCACATTGTACAAAATGTACACATAAATGTGATTATAGTGATCATAGTGATAGTGATGGTAATAATGAAGTCATGATGAAGACTGTAATAATTATGATTATAATCTGAATCAGAAGCTTATTTGCCGTATCCATGAACAGGCATTGAAAATTTGTCTATGGCCACATTCTACAAAATGCACACATCGCCTCATTATAGTGATTACAGTGATCACATTGATAGTGATGAGAATGATTAAGACATGATGAAGACTAAAATGATTGAGATGAGGGTGATTTTGATTTGAATCAGAAGTGTTTTCACTGTATTCATTAAACTTTATTAGAATATAAGATTATACATTATTACACATAATTATAGTGATTGTAGTGATCATAGTGATGATAGTGACAATGACATGATGAAGACTAAAATGTTTAAGATGTTGAGGGTGATTTTGATCTGAATGAGAAGTGTATTCACCATATTCATTAAAATTTATTAGAATATGAAATTATACTTTATAACACAAATTATAGTGATGACAGTGATCATAGTGATGATGAAGTCATGATGAAGACTATAATGATTAAGATAAGGGTGATTTTGATCTGAATCAGAAGCTTTTCACTCTATACATTAACATGTGTTAGAAATTTGACTCTGGCCACATTCTACTAAATGTACACATAAATATAGTGATTATAGTGATCATAGTGATAAAGATAATGAAGACTAAAATGACTAAGGTGTTGATGAGGGTGATTTTGATCTGAATCAGAAGTGTATTCACCAGAAACATGAACATGTATCAGAATACAAAAATTACACAAAACAACACCACTATAGTGATTATAGTGATAATAATGATGATGATGACGAAGGTAATGTTTATAGCAATGATATGGTTCATGAGGGTGGTAGTGATGACGATGAGGATGATGATTACGATGATGAGCGCAGAGTCAAGTGTATTCTCCATTAACATTAACATATTTCATTACATGTGCATGTTATTACATATACAGTAATACAGAGCACATACAGCAATCAGTGATGACAATTATAGTGAAAGAAAAAGAAAGATTGTGATTATAGTGATGCTGAAGATAATGATGAAGCTAATGAAGGTGATTGTGTTCGCCATGTACATGAACATATACAGTAATATACAACAATTAGTGCTGATAATTATGGCGATATTATGATGGTGATGATATTATTGAGGGAAATAGATTTGATGATGATGATGATGATGAAGTTAAAGATGATGACAGAGATCAGGATAAATTCTTAATCTGGATAAATTCTTCACCATATATGTAAATGTTTAAATATACACCAGTGATTGTAGTGATTATTAATGATCATTGTAATATTACTATGATGATGAAGATAACAAAAGGTTATGGTGGTAATATAGCGAGCAGAATCAAGTTTATTTACTATATACATTAATAATAATTAGATTATATTTGTATTAACGTGTACTGTAATATAGAATATATACAGCAGTTATTGATGATTATATTTATGTGAGGGGAGCAGAGGAAAAGTGTTAGTGATTATAGTGATGATGAGAGTGATAGTAATCACACTGGTCAGTGTGCCATATACATTAACATATATGTCAATATACAGCAATGAGTGATGATTATAGTGATGATGATAATGACTAGGATGACGCTGATAGTGACGATTATAGTGATTACTGCGATGATGATTATAATGATACTGATAGTGATGATTATAGTGATTATGATTATAATGACACTGATAGTGATGAATCTAGTGATTGTAGTGATGATTATAATGACACTGATAGTGAGGATTATTGTGATTTTTGTGATGACATTAATGATGCTGATGACTATAGTGATTCTCATGATGATTATAATGATGCTGATAGTGATGGTCACAGTGATAATAGCGGTGGCAATGATCTTGATGATGCTAAAGAGGGTGATAGTGATAATGAATATGATTAGTGATTATATTGATAATAATGAAGATGTGATGTTGAGGGCTATAGTGATGACCATCTTAATGATGATTATGGTGATGATTATAATTATAGCAAAAATGTTAAGAGTGCTAGTGATGATTATAGTGATTATAGTGATGTCAGTGATGATTAATATAGTGATAATTATGAGGGTGATAGTGCTGTGTAAATGTTGATAATGTTAACAGTAGTAGTGATGATGATGATGATAAACACTGAATTTATTCTGAATCGACAGAGTTTGTATAATGGAGAGTAAACTGGTTTCACTTAGGCATCTTCGTGTTCTCTAAGCTGCAACTCCTGTTTCCGCTGCACATGCTCAAAAAGCTCATTTCCGTTTTTCAGTTTGTCCTAAAAAGGAAAGAAAACCCTGCGATGCAACGTCCTGTGAGCAAACCCGAGTGAGCTACAACCAACGCAGCTATTAGAGAATTAAGTAGCTCTTAAAGTTAAACAGCGCGTTTGACGTTTTTCTCTCAAGGCCATTACCCACGAAGCCATCATTTTGAGAGATTGTGATATTTTGAAGGAAACAGTGTGGTTTTATTGGTTGTGCTGGAGATTTGGCACCTCAGAGAGTACTAAGGGTTACTACTACTATGAATTATTCAGTAACTACTATGAATTATGCAGTATGTACTATTAATTAATCAGTATCTACTGTGAATTATTCAGTATCTATTATGAAATACTGTGTATCCACTATGAATTATTTAGTGTGCACTATGAATTACTCCATGACTACTATTAATTATTCAGTAATACTATGAATTAATCAATATGTTTAATGAATTATTCGGTATCTACTATGAATTACTTAGTAACTACTATAATTTATTTAATATCTACTATGAATTATGCAGTAACTACTATGAATGATTTAGTAATGACTATGAATGATTCAGTAGCTACTATGAATTATTTTGCATCTATTAATGTATCTACTATGAATTAGTCGGTATCTGGGGATGTAATGATGCATATATTTTCAGGTGCAATATGATTTTTGATTCTGAGGTTAAGATTTAATTTGATTTTCGATATTTTATGTGTCTCAATTCTATAGAGCTCTAATTCTCTATTATACACGTAAGTTTGACTCAGATAAATAAAAAATCTTGAATAGAACTTACTAATTTAACTAAAAGTCAAGTGCGTGACAAGTCAAAACGTAAACAAACCACAGACCTCTCAAAGATAGCTGCTGTACTGACAGAGATGTCCAGCTGTGGTTTGGGGTGTGTATTTAATAGAGTTACGTTTTATCCTCACATTTCACATCAGAAGGCCAAATAACATAACATTTTACTGCTGTGGTGTTGGGCAGCTGGTTATGCCAACTTATCTCTTTACTTAGCTAACATAAATAGCGAGTCAGCTATCTATCTAACAACAGAGCGACATGATACATCAAAAACAGAAACTGTGCATCTGTCAAAGCGGTGGAGTGCATTGCTGCTGTCCCACTGTACCACTATGGTAAAGTTCCCCCCATGAGTCAAAGCAGTTGTTTATTTTGTCAGTTGGTTTTTCTCATAATTGCTCGCAGAGGCCCCCTAGTGGCCTGGGCACGTGCCCATGAAATCCACTGGATGATCCAAGCCTGGTCACAGTTTTTGAGCTGCAACCACAAAACTCTGCAGGATCATAGAGCCTATACAGGAGTAGTGCGCCTGTGCTTTTGGGACTGATCACATGTACAGTTTTTGTACAGCGTTTCTGCAAACACAGTTTTTCCCCCCTTAGGAGATGAATGGCACAATATTGATAAAAGTCAAATCTTATTAGGACATCATTCATACTGACCCTCAGAGACATTACATACAGACTCACATACTAGGACATACATATACACTCATATTAGCAACCACCTGGGATACCATAACAGTGGCCTAGCAGCAACTTAGCACCCACTTGGGATAACATAGCAACAGCCTAATAACACTTTAGCAACCACCTGGGATAACATAGCAACAGCCTAGTAACACTTTAGCAACCACCTGGGATAACTTAGCAACAGCCTAGTAACACCTTAGCAACCACCTGGGATGCCATAACAGCGGCCTAGTAGCATCTTAGCAACCACCTGGGATAACATAGCAACCGCCTAGTAACACCTTAACAACCACCTGGGATAACATAGCAACAGCCTAGTAACACTTTAGCAAACACCTGGGATAACATAACAGTGGCCTAGCAGCAACTTATCACACACCTGGAATAACATAGCAACAGCCTAATAACACTTTAGCAACCACTTGGGATAACATAGCAACAGCCTAGTAACACTTTAGCAACCACCTGGGATAACTTAGCAACAGCCTAGTAACACCTTAGCAACCACCTGGGATACCATAACAGCGGCCTAGCAGCATCTTAGCAACCACCTGGGATACCATAACAGCGGCCTAGCAGCATCTTAGCAACCACCTGGGATAACATAGCAACAACCTAGTAACACCTTAGCAACCACCTGGGTTACCATAAAAATGATTTTTTGTTTGATTTTGACTAGATTATATCAGTTTGGCTCAGAATTATTTTTTAAAAACATGACTGGATCTATTTACAGTG